GAACCGGAGTTCCTGGTCTGAGATCAGTGAGAGTCTGAGCGGTCACACAAACACAGTTTTGACATAGTGTTTCTAGCGAGCTACAGCTAACATCCGTACATTAGCTGTGTAAAAGCACTGCACAGGAAGCATTTGCTTGGAGAACGTTTTAAAGGCCTCACTAAGAAAAAAGGAATGGGAAAAAAGCTTTTCTTTGGGAAATAATAACAGCAATGCTTCTGAGGACCCCAAATTGACCTTTGTCACTAAAGATAATCTCTTTGGTCGAGCATGTTTTTAGACAGTAATAAATCATACTTATGAAAATATTTCAGCATTTATATAATGAAATAACAATAAATGTATGATATGAACAGTGAATGTTCATACGATTTTTATTTTGTAGCAAAGAGTTTATTTTAACTACATAAGCTATCTTAACTACCCTTACCATAACCTTATTTCACCCTTATTAAACTTTTTTGTTGTATTAAGTTAGGGAATTCTGATCAGTGAGACCAATGCAAAAAAATATGCCTATCTTTAAAAACTCTACCAAAACAGTCCTCATGTCTGCAGTGACTTTTCTGTTGCTAACTTCCTGTAAGGTGGCGAACTGAAAACTGCCTGCTATGTAAAGACACAGAGAGGTCTAATACGTAACTGATGGGTCAGTCAATTAGAGTTAAGTTCAATCCATTTTTCATAAGATATAGTGACTCAACCAAACAGTGGAGCTTTAAAGGGATAAAACAAGGGATGCTGCCATGAGTGAATGAATGATCCTCTGTGATCCTCCAACATGTTCACATTGTGGGTTGTAATTATTATTGGAGGCTGTAACTCTTGCAGGGATTCGGGCTGTGTTGTTACCCTGGATAATCCACATAACTCACTGTCTACAACTGTCATCAAGATCTTTTTTTGTTGATGTATTTTCTTCTATTTGAAGTTTATTGTTATTGTATAATCCACTGAGGGATGCACCATTTAAATAGCATTACATGAAAAAAAAAAAAAAAAAAAAACTGTGTTATAGTATGGGAAAGCAGGAAAACATATTTTTGCTACTCACAATGATGTTCATTTTTCAGACCTTTTTCTAACTGGTCTTTTTAGCTGGATAATTTTAACTCTACAAGTATTCAAATAAAGCAAACTGATAAGAAATAATGACCGTTTTGCTGAACTGGTCACAAACTATAGACACAGACAACTTATGTATAGAGGGGTATGAAGAGGAAACTACTGTCTTCATCTGATAATATTCACTATAAACTTCAACAGGAGACCATCCTGTCCACTGTCTAAGAAGATAAATTAGACATTATTCAAGACATTTTGTAAGCCAATCATATTGTGCCGAGTTCTATTCTTTTATTATTTCAAAATACTGGACTCCAGTGTCCCTAACTACTGCTGCTAATAACAACACATTTTATGATTTTTTATCAGGCAGCAACTGGAGGGGAGGGGACAAGATGCAGGGGGCCACAGTGGCTATCTAGGGAAGGCCTGGCCCCAAAATGCACCATGCAGGTCTGAGAGAGGATAAGAATGCCACACAGAAAGATAAGAAAATAAAAGTAGTAAACACAAGGAAACCTAGAATCATGAATTTGTAGAACAAGTGTTAATTATGTTGTCCCATCACTTCTTAGAAATGTCACCAATTGCTATAAAATACTTCTATGTTGTTTATTTACCTAATAACTCTACTCTTTTAAGCCTATTTGCTCTCTGAGAAACACATTGTGTGTGACTGACTGACAGTCATCAGTCTGATTCGTGCTGACAGATGGTGACTTCTCGGACAGTGCAGGACTATTACTGCTGAAACTTTTGAGCTCAGTGTTTCTCACCATGAAAGTCAGCGGTCAGCTCACAGCTCAGAGTCCTGCTATCTCCAGTCCCGTGTGAGTCTGATGTGATTGGGAGAGAGAGACAGTAAATCCTCTTGTTCCCAGCAGCCTTCACTCATCCTCCAGTCAGAGTGTGTCGGGCTGGTCTGATCCAGGAGCAGCAGACAGGATCAGGCTGATTTCCAGAGGATCAGCTGCTCACAGCGCTCTGCAGGGGGACACTGCTGTCTAGTGGCCAGTGACTGATCAACCAGAACAGACTAGATTCACAATTGTCCCATGCCATTTTAAAATGCCTTCAGTATAAAAGGAATACTTTCAGCATGATAAGAAAACCTACTGACCCCTCTCAGATTTTATAAAAACATACTGATGAACATGGACTGGACAAAAGAGGAGTGGGATATACAGCAGTTATGCTAGTAACAGTTCCATGGCATATATCTATTGTCCCTTTCAGGGTGTTAAACATATGCTAGGAGGTCTCTTACACAAAACAATAACAAAAGACTGATGCCGTCGTAAAGTAGCATGGGATCATGGGAGTTGTTGTCTTCACCACCATTGCAGTCAGCTTCTCCCGGTTAGGATTCCTTCAGTGTTCAGGATGTTTCTACCAGAAGCCTAATGATCCACAGAGGTCTCCTCCTCTCTAAAACAAACTGACCCGCTGATTAAAACAAATCACACAAATCACTGGTTCTCCCACGCTGTTGGGCAGACTAAGGACGTCCTGGAGGGGCTGCAAGCCGAGCTGCTGCTAATGTTAGCTCAGCTTGTTTCTCTGATAACTTCCATGACATCCAATGACTTAAATCCTTCATCCGGTTCAAATATAAAGTTAAAAGATCTAAATAGCGTATTATGACAAAAGAAATGTGGCTTAAAACTGGATAAAAATCCATTCATGACAGCTTCTGGCAGACAGCTGCAATGCATGCAGAAAGGGGCTATGACAGCGAACGCCAACAGGTTGACAATGAAAACAGGCAATGCAGTGAAAAATGGAATGGTGCCTTCATTTTGCAACCTTATACCAATCCTAAACCAATGATTTTAATCTCCAAAATTCCTGTATGCAGGGTTGCCAATATCAGGCATCATCAGGATTTACAACATGCTAGCTTCAGTGCAGTGTTCCTGTTTATTAAGTGGCCCCTGGCCTCCTGTCAGTTTGCAAAAGTGGCCCCCAGGCAAAGCAAGTTGATTACCCCTGCCGTATAGACAGATGTATCAGGGAGGGAGAAACTGCACTGCACGACCTCACCTGAACACAACTGTTGAATCCAATAACAGTTACAATTACAGTGAGAGAAAAAAATAAGAAAAAGTAAGAAAGCAAACACATGAACAGCAGACTTCCTGACTGGATTTTCATTATAAACATCATTAGCCACCTTTGCATCAAATCCAGCGAGCAGGCCATTTATTTTAAGCACCTGCAGATAGACTTTCTACAGAATTCTGCTGTCCAAAAGTTGTTTTCCTCTTGAAACAAGCAACAAATAATTGCACAATAAATAATCTCCTGTCAGTGCCAGCGGGCGGTTGTGAAACTGTCCAGTAAGCTGCTACATACTTTTAAATAATTCATCAAATAATGGTGGTATTTTAAAATACAACCTTTCATCTGGGATGTTTCCGTAGTTTCCTCATCCCCTCCTCAGGATGCAGCGAGTATGCTCTGCCAGAGGTCTGCAGGCATGATGGATTAACCACCAGCTGCAGGTATTTACTTGAATTGCATGAATTCAATTGACAAAATGTTACCATGATGCATCTTGGTGTTTGCTGTAAGTGTAAAGTGTGTAAATTGTGGTTTACTGGGCTGTGCACTATCTGTGGTTATGTTATATTTTGGAGTGTCTATTTGCACCTGGGTGAGAATAGTCACATGGCAGCTTTTTGGCTATTTAAACCCAGAAAGCAATTAGGAAGTCAGGTAACATAGTATAAATAGGGAAGTCCTTGTTGTAAGAAGGTTGTGGACTTTCACCCAGGACACCAGGGTTTATGTACTGTGGAACACCAAAAATGACTTTGTTTTCAGTTGCAGTTTGGTTAGGTTTTAGAAAATATCATGGTTTGGGTTAAAATAATAAGGCAACGTTGGTCTCCTGAGAGGCAGGGTCCATTTAACACCAAATATATACACATAGAGTATCTATAACGCGTGCCTGGGTGCACATAGCACTGTTGGCCTCTGCTGCTTAAACATTTCCTTTTTGTGGTTAAAATATGCCATTTTAGATTTCTGGTGTAAAAACAGAAACATTGTGCTAGAAACATAAAACAGTAATAATCAGCATTTTACCTTTAACAGCAGGTATGTCAGATGTAGAAAAGTCTATTTATATTATCTACATTTACAGTGATACAGTATGTTGAATACATGCTGGATATCTCAAGGGATCCTTCCTCTGCAGCAAATGACCTTTACTGGTTTGATCATTATTGTGACGGCAGCATTTTACCTTCAGATGCATCAGTGATTATATTTCAGTGATAATCAATGTAGTGATGCTGCTCCAGTAATCTTAATACATGTCGCTTTACCCCATTAAATACTGCTGTTTTCATTCTGCATACCGAGGCTGATTTTTAATATAGAATTATATAGAGTTGTATTACAGTATGTTGAAGTATTAGCTTTTTATGCTGATCACATATCAGTGAATAGACCTGCCTTCATAAAGACAAATGACGGGATGGTTTAAATATCATTTAATTACATCAGGATGAAATTACAGGAGGGAAGTAGACTGGGCATGTCTACGTGCTTCAGTTTCTGCTGTCTGCTGTCTGCTGGATCTGGATGTGGATCTGGATGTGGATGTGGATGTGGAGTTACCTGGATGTGGTGCACAGGAAACGGCTAACTAAATGATGTACTACTGAGCTTAGAAATAAGATAGCTAACAATCAGGTTTTTGACTTATGTAACATAGCATTCTGTCAATATGATGAAGGTACGTAATAACTTTAATAATACTTAATAGAAGACTTGCTGATATTAAAAGAATAAAGGAGGATGTGCGATGTATGTGGAAAATGGCGTTAAATGTTGATGTGTTATCTTCAGTGGGCACAGACCCTCTTCAGATAATGAGACCACAATTGAACTCAGAAATCCTAAAAGAGCACAATCACAACAAAGAATGAATTCTTATTGCTGATTTTAATTTGAACTGGGAGGATGTGTTTAAGATGCCACTAAATCCTACACACTGGTCCTTTAAGCTAACTCTTGTGCAATACATCAAATATGATATTGTACATGGTCTCTCACAAATAAAATTAATTATAATCAAAACTAAATGGGGAAATATTGTCCACTGGCCAGCAGTATAAAACATTAGAATATTGTCAGAAACTCCAGTGCTGTTGGGGTCAGGAGTTATTCAGACCAAGTTAGCTATAGGCAACAATGTCACTAGTATGTGTAAATGCTGACTGCAATGAAAACAGGCTCTTGTGTTCAATGATTGGACAGTGTGGGGCACTGAGGACATAGAGGAGTTTCTATGAAGACTGAATGTGGCTGAATTCTACATCAACATCTGTGGGTTTCCAAATATTTAATGAGAATGTGTCGTTATCACCATAAAATACAAATGTACAATTCATTATTGCAGCTCACACATATAGATCACTGACATCATATACAGTACAACTGCTCTACTTAGGGATAATGTTGAGAAGATATTGTGGAGTTAAACATATACTCTGTGTCTTTGGCTTCCATATGATCTAACAGTTGTTTCAGTAGTTATGCTGTAGGCAGCTCATTAGCAGGTGAGGGGTCTCAGGAATATGGCAGGCCAGAGAGGTCCATGTTTTTATTAAAGATGATGGAAAACTCTTTAGAAAGCAGCTGGTGGAGGTTCACACCATCGTGAGCGTACACCCAGTGTTCACCTGTCCAGTCGTAGCGCTTTGGCCCACTGCAGAAAGAGAAGAAAGGAAATCAGCTGAGATGCTGTCATTTCAGATTCCTCAGAATAAAAGTTTATTTCAGTCAGTTTATGGACCCAGTGAGAGTTTGATTCCTCACTGGAAGTTTATAATCTCTGTATGTATCTGTATGGACACAGAGCAGAAGTGGCTCTGCAGCGCTCTGCAGCAGTCTGGACGGCTCTGTGTGTAACCACAGCAGAACAGAGCTGCTGCAGTGCAGAGGAGAAAAGACAGACAGCTGCAGACAGATGTTAGTGTTGTGGAGCCATTTTTGCATACGAGAGCACTGAGGTGGGTCCCTGAGAGCCGCTCTGTGTTGGTCTGATGATGTGTGTGTGCGTGTGTATGTATGTGTGTGTGTATGTATGTATGTGTGTGTGAGTGCGTGTGTGTAGGTGTGTGTGTCTGAGTGTGAGTGCGTGTGTGTGTGTGTGAGTGTGTAGGTGTGTGTGTGTGAGTGTGTGTGTGTGTGCGTGTGTAGGTGTGTGTGTGTGTGTGTGTGTGTGTGTGCGTGTGAGTGTGAGTGTGTGTGTGTGTGTGAGTGAGTATATGTGTGTGTGTGTGTGTGTGTGTGTGTGTTACACTCAGTGTAGAATAAAAACAGGAGTAAAGACATCTGCCTTGTGTTCATTTCCTCAACAGCATCAGAGTGTGGAGTCAGGTGAGTACGGTTCCTCAGCCTTACCTGGTGGGAGAAGAGAGCCAGATCTGTTTGTTTGGAGTCTGTTTGTTGATGACGTAGGTGCCATGGTCCCCACCCACCTTCACTGTCAACACGCCACTCTGTACGTGAACCGAAGACAGAACACACACACACACTTTAACACATTTCTTGTGACGCCTGAAAGTAAACTTCAAGCACAAACCTAAATGGAACAAAAATAAGCTTTACATGTCCAAGAAGTCCCTGGAGCTGTGTGTAATCCCCACCTGCTGCAAACCCTCAACAATTCTATCCATCTTCTACCTATATACTATGTGTAACTTTGACAGCATCAAAAAACAGTCAGATTCCTTCTATGTGTACTTCTCTGCCTCTGGAAACTCTGTTGTCAATCTAAAATTGAAACAGAATCAGCAACTGCATGGCATATTTCTCACTACGGACTTAAAATGTTTTTTAGAAACACATTTTGGTGAAAGTTCCAAACGAGCTGCTATGTTGGTCCTGTTTAAAATCCCAGAGCAGAAGGTGTTTGTCCAATCAGGTGCAGGCAGCAGTGTTAGCATAGTTGTAGGAGGGAGTAGCCTTTTATGGCTATAAGTATCAGGAAGTGGCACAAACCCTTGACATCCAAAAACACCACTGTGAACACGTATCATCTGTCTGATCTCAGTGACTCGGGTGTGCAAAAGCTTTGAGTATTTAGGTTTTCTTAGTAAAGAAAAAAGTCTGCCTGCGTGACTCCTTACTGCAAGTTTCCTGCAGCGTAGATGCATGTCACCGTTTTGCAATGAGCAACTGTCAGAAAAACCTGCCAGCATCGATAAAAGGAACTGATAAAATCAGAAGGCATACGATTCCGATCGTGGGACGAATTCGAACCGTTTCTCTATCCTTATCCCTTCTAACCCCTCTAAGGTTCACTAGTGAACATGTTGTATCTCATTTGTTTAATCTGTACATAAACAGAAATGTAAAAATGATTTGTCATTTTAGTGGAGGAATGTGTTCAACTATTCTTTTAAAGGGTTAGTTAGGATTTATTGAAGTGGGGTTTTATGAGGTACTCATCTATAGTCAGTGTATTATCGACACTAGACAGCAGTCAGCACGCCCCCACTTTGTGGAAGCAGACAGAAGTGCCGGCACAGAAGCAGAGCAATGCTGTGGATGGGAGCAGAAACAAAACATTTTTCACCTACTTCAAAAAAAAAAATCAATTGAAGCGCACACTATATTATATAAGAGTATTTTCACTGTTTTATCTAGTCGTCAGAGAGCCCTTTACGAAGGGGGACTGCAGTTATATCGCTCTCTTCAGAGCCACCAGACTCCTCTGACAAAAACAAGTTACTTCGGATCTGAACTAACATGTTGAAACACCAAAGTCACACAATAACTCACATTCTTGATGATTCTTGATATTATTGATCTTTATACGTGGGCCTTTTTCATGTGGGTAAAATATGTTTTGTTGCAGTGCATTGCTTAACTTCTGTGTTGGTACTCCTGTCTGCTTCTCCAAACGGGGGGAGGGACTGCCGCCTACTGTACACAGACTACGAATAAATATATATATAATATATAACGCCACTTCAAAAAACCTAAACTATTCCTTTAAGCATGCTACTACCCATTTGATCAAAGCCACTGTGTTACAGGGCTGATGCTCTTAAAGATGAAGGAGTGCCCTTTAGGTCTGAAACAAAAAGCACAAGGAAGTGAAGAGTGAAGAGCCTATTCCTGATTATTCCATAAAGATTTACTCCAGTACCTCTCTGAGACCCTCTGCAGAGTGCAGTACTGCTCCTGGATCTTATTTAGCCAGCCAAATCACAGCTCTCTAGCTCTCTTCATTCTGCTCTGTGTGTTTGTGTGTGTTGTTTATGGCCCCATATGTCACAGCAGCCAGTTGAAAAAGGGGGTCAGCTGCCAAGATTGGAACACTGGCCAATCAGTCAGAGCCAGCAGAGACAGCCGCTGTCCAACCGAAACGATTAACACACACTAACACACACACACACACACACACACTTTATTAATCACCCTCTCATGGGCCACTGACAGGGTGGAAGAAGATGTTACAGAAAAGAAGAAGGGAGAGGGATGAAAAAAGAAACAGAGGTCTTGAGACGGTCACATAGATCTGTGCAGTGGATGCCCCAGAGGAAATCCAACAGGACAAACTCACTATGGACAGACGGACAGTGCGGTGTGATGATAACAGTGGGGCACAGGAAATAAAGCGCACTTTGTCGTCCATGCACGCCCCTCACATGAACAAACAGACACAAATACATGCTGATGTGGGTAGGACAATCTTTCTCTGAGAATATTCATCAGGCAACCAATCGGCGGGACACATCAATGGCAGCTGTTATCAAGCCTGGCTGTGACAGTGTGGAGCATCAATAAAGGCGGGCTGACACACACAAACACACACGGAGCCCATCACAGTGTACCCCCTGGCGATGTGTCAATCTGAACAGGAGATGACACACTTTAAAATAGCATCAGCTTGTAGAAACACGTGAAAATACTCATCTGTCCCTTGGTGGAACCTGTAAAGGATGCATTTCCACTGAGAATTTAATGAATGTTCAAGTCTTGTCTGTAACAGATTAAACACCAGATCAGGGATTCATTTACAACCTTCTGTTTTTTGAAAGAAGATAAAGAAGAGTCTGCATGCTGGCAGCGTTGTGAGCTGGGCAATGTGGTGCTTTGGGCTGAATGCCAACACCAGCATGCTAACATGCTCACAATGACAATGCTAAAATGCTGATGTTTTGGTTTGGGTTTTTTTTTGTGGGGAGGCATATTGAACAGGCATAATGTTTGTTACTATGTTAGTTTGGCTAGCATACTAAGATTTGATTATCACGAAGCACAAAGTATACCTGTACCAAATGTCATGGAAATCCATCCAATAGTTGTTGACATTTTAAATTAAAAGGCCAAAAAACCTCATGGCAGCACCAGAGGGTTACCAAAGTCAGTAGGATTCATCCTCTGGGTACAACAGTCTGGACCAACAGACAGACATTGCCATTATTTATACTTGAGGGATGCAAATGAAATGTCGCTCAAAGAACCTTAACACATCCTTGTTTTATGAGAGTGAAGACGAGAACATGACTCTTTATGAAAAGAAAAACCATGAGAGGGCAGCAATGCCGAGGCAGTGTTCAGCTAGGACACCAGGTCTCCATCTGTTGAGTAAAGTTATGGTTGAGTAGAATGCCAGGATAATCTCAGTAAAGCTCTATCTTGTTTTATTTGCTATAAATTTGGGCTGCATGATATGGTAAACAAAATTGTATAATCATATTGCAATTATGTAGACAGATTGCAATGTTAGTCAAGATTAGTGGGAATGATCATTTTCAGTTTTAAAATCATGATGATGTGACATTTCTTGGAGTCTGTACCAAACCAAACCAAATCTTTTCTTTCATCTGGAGAATAAGATTTATTGTTTAGGACATCACTGCACAACTACAGTACTTCACTATAATGCTGTTGGTCAAATAATTGCAACTTCTGCCGTTTGAATATTGAACTTGGCCATATTGTGATTTTGCAGCCCTACGATACATTGTATCTTACTCAAGTGGAAGCTGAAGAGTGTCAGTAAGCATCAATAATAATGAATGCATTAATCATTCACTATCTTGATGACAGGGGCAAGGAAAAACCGCTAGCCTCAGTTTTACAAGTCCAACTTAAGTGGTCAGACAACCTCAGACATCTCAACCACTAACTGTCAAGTGTGTTGTAAAACTGCACAATAGGTGTGCATAAAAGTGTCAGTATAGTAAGTAAAATCTGAGGAAACAACATGTAGCTCTGCCTGATGTCATGTTATGTAGACACTGTTTGGTTAATAATTTAAATGTCCTCTCTGTTATACAGATGTGTCTAACAGAGGCACCACTTCATTCCTCAGTAATGAAGTTGGTAAGTAAAATATTTTCATATTTTGATAGAAATGTAAACTACAAAATTTCCATTCTGGAAAGAAAACTGACGCTGCTCAGACCTCTAAATGGCCTCCTGCTCCCTGGTCCTCTGTCCTGAAAATGTATCCTCTCTGAAGGGTCGGGGTAGGTCTCTCGCTGTTTCTGTGTAACTCCAGGATTTACAGTTTTTAAGCTTCCTGCCAGATAAAACTCGAGCTGTCTGCCAACAAGAACAACAGCCTGTAAGTGTGTCGATTCTACTGGGCAAGAAATCAATAAGGCAGCGGAGCCCAGCAGCCAAACAACAGGCCATGTCTGCAAAAGAATCACAGAGCACAGAGGGGTAATGGGCTGTGAACAGCGCACACCTACAGGCTCTGCTGTGGTGTCTCCATCAAACAATAACAGCCGAGATCACACTTTCCTCTGGCTTTTGGCTTTGAACTGTTTTGCACTGCAGTTGTCTGTGGGCAGATTTTTATTAGTTTCAATTGATCCATTGCCAATACCTAGAAAACGACCAATATATCTGTATCGGCGTATATACTGATACCAGCCAATATGGGAACTTATTTTCAGTATAAAATGCTTGTGGTAATATACTGGTGTCATCACAAAGTTTATCCAGCAGAGTGCGCTGTAACTTACAGTACTGATTGTATCTTCAGCCTGGCGTTTAACTAGGAGTGGTTTTTAGACATTTTTTACTCAATTATCTTACTGTATTTTCTTTTGTAAATATTATTGTTCATTTATTTTAACTATTTGCTTATTCTTCTTAGTGATTTTATTTGTTTGTCATTTCTGCCTACTTTCTTAATTTATTTACTTTTTAGTATAGCTTTTTATAGTATTTCATTATAATTTTTTATCATTGTAGTCCATTTTTAAATCTACCTCATTTAATGTTTACTCCATTCTGTCTTATTATTGTCTGGTCAATCATCTGTGAAGCACTTTGAACTGCACTAATCTGTATAAAATGTGCTATACAAATAAAGTTTCATTGATATATAGATTGAAAATCCACAGAGAAAAGGTCTATTTTCATTCCAGCTCAAAAATTCACTACATCTGCCACCAAATCAGTAAACTGTGAAGTTTCCCCACTAAATTTTGTACTGATCTCAAGAATCCTATATCGGTCGGGCTCACTCTACTATTGTATGGATTTTCAAAAAACACAACCGATTTTTGTCTTTAAACCCCCAACCGCTAGATATGAGGGCTATGATGTTGGATGTTACAGGAATTGTGATAAATACGAATACAGCTCTCACTGTTTTGGTTGCATTAAAGATTTTACGCATACGGTGGTGTGTTCTTTACACTATCACAGTTTTCCTAAAATTGGATTAAAAAAAGAATTGCAATATATGACTTTGCTTACAGTATCACAATATATTGAACTGTAACCCCTGTATTGTGATACATATTGTATTGCCAGATTCTAGCCGATACACAGTCCTAATACTACAATGGGTAGTGAGCAGCCAATGGCAAATGTTCACCTATGTGCTTTTTGTGTGGCAGGAAGACGACGTATGTGAATGAGATGTTTATGTAAAGGAAATAAGCCATGCAGCTGCTGTAATGTACAGAATAGAGGCTCATTACAGACCAAAGAGGAAGAGGTTTGCTTCCTTAAAGTGAATCATTTTTCATAACGGCACAGATTACAGTGCATTTCACTGTACCCTCTCAACTTTGTGCTTGGTTGAGATCTAGCTGTGAATAAATGTGCATTTAGTTAGAAAAACAGCAGGAGAACCAATAACCTGCTAACAACTGAAACTGAAGACTGCTACTATGAATTATGAAGGTGAATAAACTAATAAGGACACAATGTCAGAGGTGCAAGGTTATCTGAAAATAATGCACACCCTCCAGCCAATCACAATCCAATAGACAGCAATAGACAGTCAGCTCCAGCAGCTCAGACTGTAGCAGGTGGAGGTGGAGTGTATACATCTAATGTCTCACTTAACTGGAAAATGAATTCATGCAGACAAATGCATTCAGTAAACAAGGAGTGCATTTTATTGATCAGCAAATTTTAGTTTAGTGAATGCAGCCTTGGCCCTCTTTCTTACTGTTACATAACAAACTGTTTCAGTTATAGGTCTATATTTGTATTAGTTCCTATATTTTTGGATAACTGATACTGTGCAGCTCTCTGGATATGTATGTGGTGCGACTACTCTATGTCTGATGTTGTCGAGGTTTCTGTTAAGTCACTGTTCCCACCACATCCTTCCCTGTGACTCGTGTTAATTCAGTCTGTGTTTGTGTGGACTTTAACAGAGTTTCTATTTAGATTTACACCCATTCAGAATCAGCATTATTGGTCAAGTATGCGTACACATACAAGGAATTTGACTCTGGTTTTTAAGTTGGTCTCACTGTATTTACACACAGTTCCAGTTTACACAGTTTACAGGAAAGATAGAAATAGATAGTGTGTGTATTCTTGAGGTTTAACAAATATGTTGAATGGATTTATTCAAAACTGATTATAAGAAAAAGCAGATTTTTCTGAAACTGTATCTTCTGTTCGCCATAAAATTTTACAAATCTGATGTAGCTACAGTTTGGTATTGGGAGGGACTTTGCTCTTTAGACACTGTTGTAAACAAAATATACCAAGGTAGGGAAGTAGCAAAAGTAATAATAAAGCACTGACAATAAAATGTATTTATTTACTATATGGCATGACTAACTTGTCACTAGACACAATTAACACTGCATGTTAGGAGCACGTTAATAACAATTTATAAGATAAAACCTCGGAGTGGATTCTCTTTATCCGTTATATCAATATGGTTAAATACTGTGAGCAGGCACATTGAATGATTTAAAAGCTGTCATTCCATTTCCCAAATGATGACACTAAGACATTAATGACAAGGTTCTGCTGTAAAAAAAAAATCATTTTACCATTTATTTGTTGTTTAACAGCTTCCCTTAGTGGAGGGTCACACTCACTACCACTCATTCATTTGACCCACACTATGGAAAAGTCCATTCTACTGTCAGCTGGCCACATTTAAGTTAAGGTTTTATTCATGAACCATTTCTATGAACATGGACACTCTGTGACTGAGTCTAACTGCCGTTACAAACAAGCTACTTTTAAGTTTAACGGATTCTCATATATAGCAGCTTCAGAGCTCTATGAAGGTTATCAATGCAACACTGAAGCAGGAACAGGGTTCCCCCTGTTTTTAAGAAATCATTTTCCAGGACATTTTCAAGGAGTTTTTCTTAACAATGCAGGCCAGCACTAGCTCACAGACAGTGGTCAGCCATATATGGTCATTGTTTAAGGGACACTATGTTAGCTCTCATCATAGGCTTGGTTGTTCTCACCACAGCCGATTTTTCTGCTTTCCACATAGACCTTTTTCACAGGTGTTAAAATGGCTGCTGTGAAAAAGGTCTATTGACTACAGTTTTCATCTAATTGTAACATTAATTTGGCTACAGCACAGGCTGAAACATATAATTTGTCATTTTAATCGATTTCTAGGTGTTTCCATGACTGGGAACCAAGTCTCTAAAATTCCAGGTTTTAAATGGATGGAGTGAAGGAATGAAGAGTGAAGAAGTGGATTAAAGCAGCGGGACATGTTTGAGTATTCTTTGAATATTTTGGCACTTTTCTGAGAAAGAATGAGAAACTTGTGACTACTGGAATCCACTGTAACTAATATAGTTCATGGTGACCACAGCATGTGCTCTTTCAGTGCATTAACCTGTCCTTGCAAAGGTAAAACTAACACTTGAAATTAGCACAGATACAATTAGTTGATAAAAAATATCAAACAATTTTGGTAGCCTATTAATAGTTTTTGTTTATGAATAGTTAGCAGAATTATCAATTATTTACAGTTTATATATTACCCAATGTACTAAGGACTTAGCAGCATCTAGCAGTGAAGTTGCAATAGCCTACTGCTTGCCTTCCAATTGTGTAGGAAAAACTACGGTGGCTGTGAAAAATGCCTAAGGCTCTATCTAGAGCCAGTGTTTGGTTTGTCCATTCTGGGCTACTGTAGAAACATGGCTGTTAAACATGGGGCACACCAAAAGGCAACCTGTGGCATTTGCATATAAAAACATGCTCATTCTAAGGTAACAAAAACACAACAATTCTTACCGTATTTTCAGGTGATTATACACCAATGAAATCACACATATGAATATTATTTCTGCCAACAGATCCTCCTGAATGTTACACACTGGACCTTTAACTAGATGTCTTCTTTGATACTGTTGTGGCATCAGCCATTTTCTTTGGAGTGGTCTGCTGGACCAGCGGCATCTCAGCAGTCGACGGGAAGAGACTCGACAAACTAATCAAGAAGGTCAGCTCTGTCCTGGGTTGTACATAGTGTTTTTATTTATTATGTCCCCCCTATTACTGTTTTTTATACTGTTTTTTTCTCTATCCACTTTGCTGCTGCAACATTGGAATTTCCCCATTGTGGGACAAATAAAGGAATATCTTATCTTATCTTATGTAAGAAATACGAACCACGATAGTGAACCTGTTGCCTTCCTCTCAGGTGAGTGGCATGAACAACTGATGCTCATCAGCCTGTTATTATAGTATAAAAATACCATGTACTGCAGTCAGACAGGTGGCAGTGAACAGGAAATAGACTGACTTACAGAGAAGACAACATCGTAGTCTGCTCCAGTGAAAGCTTCATCTGTCAGGTCTTCAAAATAATCAGCCAGAGCATCCAATGTCTTATCTGCCAGCTTCTCATATGCCGCTTCTGACAGCTCACTTTTTAAGACAGTGACAAAAGATTACATATTAGTTTGAACATTCAACGCAGACTAGTGATGCTTAGAAAATAAAAGAACTGTGCTTTACCCTATTGGCACAGGGGTGGGTTTCTCCTGCCTTGGTGACGTCAGATGGATGTTCTTCCTCCACCTTCCACTATAAACTCCACCCTCAAAACAGTGACAGAAAAACTGAGGTCAGACACTAAACAACAAGAAGTCTCATTAGTGATCATCAGAACTGTGTCTAAATCCATGATGGCTTCCTCTACTCACACAGTTTCTCTCTTTGTTATTTATCCCATTCACTCAGCTTGTTCCACCTAAAAGTAGTTCAGGCCATAAGCGGAACTGCTATGTGACAGTTCCATTTTTCCTTAATACGGTTTTATTGTAAACACTACATGTGGCTGGAGGTAGGAGAGGCCGCTAATAATATGTCCTTAAACTGTCCATTTTTTGAATGGAGTCTGGTGGCATAACTTACTTCGTCTGGAAGTCGACAGATGGGATGAAGCGTGTGTTTCGTGAAAGGACGAACTCCCGTAAGGTGAGACAAGCTCCTGACCTGGAATATTAAATAATAATATGTGAGTTAACTGTCAGTGGACTTATTAATGAACTAATTGATGGAAGAATAAACTAGTTTGACGTGTTAGCTAACGTTAGCCACTTGGATGTGGACTAGGCTACCTGGTTGGAGAGCTTCCTGATGCTCTGCGCCGTCGCCATGTTGAGCTGCGTGTTCGCAAGGTGACATATCTGCGAATAAATACACGGTGCTTTACTGAATGAAAGCATGGTCTGCTAGCAGGTTGTTTACGCTCTACAAAAGTTCACCGGTGTCCTCTACGTCTTCTTCTCCTCCTTCCACCTCTTCTTCTTCGTGTATTTCCACACTGACCCCTACTGGAGGGCGGGCAGTGTGGCTCCGTGCACAAACAGCAGGAAGCATGTCAGACCAGCCAGAGAACAGATTTTGGAGGCTCAGACATTTAAACATTTTGTATGAAACAGTGGTGGAATGTAACTAGTAATGTAACGTTAAATGTAAAAAGCACATTTACTCAAGTACTGTTCTCATGTACAAATTCAAGGTACTTGTAGTTTACGTGAGTATTTACATTTTCTGCAACTTCATACTTCAACACAGTGGTGTAGTGTAGGGTATACGCAGGTATATGGAGTATTCCCACTTATTTTAGTCAGCATTGGGTATACCCACTTCTAAATCCCCTCTGATGCTCGTTATTTATGTCATGCCTTTGTCATTTTTTTCTAGAATGACAAAAGCATGACAGAGTAAGGAATACTAAACTTAAAATGCATAATTATGTAGTTGTCTCACCTGTCTGTGGGCCAGTATTTATTCTTCTGTGGATAATGTTGATTTCATGTTGATCCTTACTGCCTGTAGTCAATCAGCAGAAGTTCAATGACAATGTGCTACAAAGTGTTATAATACTACTGGTCCATTGTTCTAAATATAGTACTCTTATGTGTGCTGGACAGGCTGCTTTGAACAAAAAATTGGGGCATAAATTAACAGTATACCTACTTCTCCAGGCGCCACTACAACACCGCTTCTACTCCTTCAAAACCACGTATCCCAGATGTGCTGATTGTGAATGTTATAAGCTGAATGATGCAGTTTTCCTTTGCGGGTTGAGAAAATGATCCTACTTCTTAAAATGAATAAACTTGGATTCTTGGATTACCTGGGAAATACTACTTACTTTTAATTAAGTAAGGTTTTGAATGCAGGACTGTCAGTGTAGTGTAGTAGTATTTTCACAGTGTGCTATCAGAACTTATACTTAAGCTTTTTAAAATATAATTTAATTAGATTTGTTTTCCCCACATAAAAGACACACACAGTAAATTAAATTAGTATTGAATCCAACATGCTGGTGGTCAAGTACAATCTAGCATTCATAACAACCCCTGTCTGTTATATATGAAAAAAGTGTGTCGTAGTAGAAACCAGCATGTCAGAGTGGGAGGAAGGAATCTGTACATTTGGAGGCTTTGAGGGGCCCTCTGGGCAGTGAATGACACTTATGGTTGTTAGCCGGGCTCAGCCTGGTTCCTCCCTGTGTCGCTCTTACCATTCAGCAGAGTGTACACAGTCACAGTGTGAATGTGGAGTCAGCTCACTGACACAATAAAAGAATGATTGCTTTAAAACTGATATTGCATCCACCCCCCTTCCTGCTGAGTACTGCTCATCTCACAGTTTCACTCTTTCATCATCATGTTCCTCAGACACAGGTCAATAATGCATTCTGTTTATTCACTACAGTTTTGTTTTTATGAATGAAGCAAAGATCCAATACATTTTGTGCTTACAGAGCATTGTATGTACTGTATTCCAGCAATACTTATTTTCGATCATGAAATTTTGTTGTGAAAGAGACTAAAAGAGACAATTTAATAATAATTTTGCAGTATATCTGAACAGCAGGCCAGTGTAATGAATACTTGAACAATAAGCCAGTAATAAAAATAATTCTTCTTCCTTATTTCTAGCAGAGTGTAAGATACTATTCACTTTTAATTCTTAATATTATTGACAGTAACTGATTCATGTCACATTGCTAGTTCCAGTACCTAAAGTGTTAAAGAGGAGACTAGAGATGTGGCTGTTAACCCATTCCGGTTTTGTTACAAACTTCAGACCAGCTCACACCCAATGCTCACACCCCACTTTATTCATGAGTCTGCCCCCCATGCAGCCGTCCTACCAGGGCTCAGCCAATCAGCCCGTTCACAACTGGTGAGATGTGCTGGGGGCCCGTCTGATTGGCTGGCAGCCTCTCTGGTGAGGGCTGTGCACTGAGAGATCAGTGGAGGATTTCTGACTGAGACCTCTGCTGAGGATCTCTATTAGACAGGATGTAGGGAAAAGGGGCGAGAGTTAAAGCCGTGTAATCTCATTAGAAGTGAAATTTTCACTAACCTGCAGCTGTCATTCATTGATTAGATTGATCTGTGATCAGTGTTCCTGGATTCAACCTGAGTGACTGGAGGTCTCAGAGCAGGGCACCTGCAGGATTCAAACCCTCTAGTTTAAGATCTTAATGCATAACTAATTGTAAAGACAGTGTTTTTGTTTGTTTCATCCCATTTACCTCTTATAGTTAAAATTCATGAACAAAAAATATATTTTTACTGTAAAGATCTTTACCGTAATTAATTCGGTAGAACTTTTTCACTATTACGGTAAAAGGATATAAGTACTTTGGATTGTACGTTTAAAGTTGGAGTTTTATTCCATATTTTACCATATAAATAAAAAAGTTTTTACCATCAAAAGAAACAGTTTTTCCACATGAAAATATCATATCAATGTTTTCTGGGCAATGTACCTACTTTCTTCCATATACATTTTAAAATGCTGTATAAATAAATGTTTTGCTGTAAGATATCACAGTGTTTTACTGTTACAGAAACTGTATTTAACCTATTTAGAGTTTCTGGTCTTTTGCTGTCATGGTCTGACAGTTTTTCACCGTAAAACCTACAGACATTTCTTACAGTGTATTATTGTGCATGAAAAACCGACTCACAGAGCTGCACTTCTGCTGATCTTTCCAAAGCACTACTAGTAATAAATATTGTTCAGAATAGGTTCATTCTTCCACTTTCAGGCAGTCATTGGTTTTCATTATTTCTAGAATTTAAGTGCAGACTGATTTTTTCATTACCACACAATGCAAATGTAAATCTGACAATGTACAAGTAAAACAATATATAATAAGCTGTGGGCCCTTACTGAGCCCTCATTTGTTTAAAGCTCTTTAGTGAGTGTTTCTCCAATGCTTGTACATAATACTCCATGGGGTACTTTGGAGTACAGTGAGGGATACCTGAGATCTTTTTCTAATGTTAAAAATATCAGTTATGGGTAATTCCTGAAATATTTATACTATAATAAGTTCAATAAAAAATGGCATCAACATTACATAATAATACAAGCATGGCCTTCCTATTTCACTCTATATGGACATGATGAACCTATTGCTTATTGGCCCCATAAGGATTTGGGGCCCCAGGGCAGGTTCTTGCTTTTCCCAGTGGGCAACTGTCACTAACGTTTCCGTTTATGATCCTGTATGCAGTCCTCACATGCTGCAGGCCACATGTGGGGGCTTCACAGATTAGATACAAACTGCTGAACGCCATGAACCCCAGCTCTGCAGTGTCAAGGACAGCTATGTGTTTACTGTCATGTTATTGTAAATTCCATATCCATTCTCACTGGTTCCAAACATGGGGGTCCTGACGCCAACTAGTCGCCAAAGCTTCACAGGGGGTCATAAGGCCTTCTTGATTTTAAGGAGTGTGGAGAAAAAAAAGGTCCAGTGTCAACTTGTACAGTGTGATGTAGAAACCTGAAGCCACCAGTGCACATCCACTGAGAATGGACTTTACAGTGAAGGAGGAGACATCTTGTGTCCAGCAGCAAAACTTTAGAACAACGAATGAACAACATTTGCATATTCAGAGATTCTGGAATTTGGCCTTTTAAGGATTTTAATTTCTTTCTTGAAGCAAAATGCATTGTTCCAAGCAGACTAATGTATTTATGTCTTAATATATGTCTGGAGAGGATGTTTAATGGTGTATGATTGTTGAAAAAAACTGTATATAAAAAGTTCCAAAACCTATCCCTGATGCAATATTCACAGGAAATAATCAGCTCAGGATTCATCATTTTACACAAACTTCCTGCAGTTATTGTGTTCACTGTTTGGGTTCATTGTACAGTGTATCAGTTGTTCTCTACTGTTATTGATATACACTGAATATAATATGAAATATCCATAAAATATGCACTTACTCAGCGATAATTGGGAATCGCTCCAGCTCATGTGCTATTCATGACACAGCATCAATCAAAACAGCACAACCTGTCAGTGTAAAGTCCTTTTGTATTTATTACAAAATATATCCAAAATATTTGCCATCTGCTGGAACAGGAAGTCTCACCATGACAGAGACATTTTCAAGCATCAACATTACATGCTAATGCGGTTTAAAATACAGACTGGTTTGGAAAGTCTGTCACTGCATCAGCACACAGTGACAACACGCCTTTGTCTTGAGTAAAAGCAGACATAAACGGATGGACTACAGTACCTCACACGCAAATTCTGTCTGTGCAAGTTTGTTTCCACACATATCTGCAGTAAATGGGCAGTTCTACATTTATTTTTGGTTAATTATACAGAGTAATCTCAACAGGAATGATGTGTTGCATACTCCTATTAGCAGTACAGGCACTTGGAGCCTTTTCCATCCTATTTTAATGGACACAATCATGATTTTGTCCTCACCTGTTCTGTGCTGTAAGTACTGGAGATTCTTGCAGTCTTAAAGTGCCTCTTGGATCCAGATAATCACTCTTTCATATATTTGTTCATTCATTCAATGAGTCAGTCATGCTTCATATTTCCGTCCTCTTGTGGTTGAACCAGGACTATACTGCTTCACAATTGTGACACTGTGTCCTTGTTAGCTTCACAAACAACCAGAATCTGTAGTAAGCAGCATTGTTGTCATGCACTCATTCAACATTCACAAACATTCACCTTTCAGGCATCACTGCTTCTGTGTACAGTGCTCCATTTGGCAACAGGACAGTAGAAATGTTTCATTTGAACCCAAACCAAACCTGACTGCATTGAATGTGGAAATAAAAGCAGTCAGCAATTAACTGTCTCCTAGCCAGCTCCATTAAACACAAACATACAGAAAAAGAAGATGCTCCCACAGAATAGTCTGATTAGCTTGTATGGATTCTTTTCATATCTAGCATAGAGATTGGTCAGAAGACACTCCAGTGTCTCTTTGAAAGCACTTGGAAGACGTCTGAGGTCAGTGATGAATGATGAGTCTCTTTTGAATTGTCCATCGTTCCCTGGGTTTACTGCTCCGTTCAGTGACCTGGGCTCCCTGAGGGAGGCCGGGCTGCTCTCAGGCTCTCAGGAGGCTTTGTTGGTGCACGTTCCAGGAGTCTCCTGTAGGTTCACCTTGGATCTGCACATGGAACAGACATATGAGTTGTATGGCAAATTAGCTAAGGCTGTAAATGTAAGTGTAAAATTCTTGTAATAACAAACATTAGTCTTGCAATCAAGTATTCTGGGGTTCAAACAGTCAGTGCCAACAACAGTCCTGATTGTTTTGGAGCATTTAGGAAGCCTGGAGTGTAGCTGAATAAGCAGGCAAAACACATTGCCTGGCGTGCACTCTTCTCTTACGCTGTGTGATGTGTTTTTAAATGTCAAATATTCTCATCTTTTTGGTGGCACAGAGTTGCACTGCTTGTCAATGTCACACTTAGCCCAGACAGCCAATCAAGCAAGAGGTGGGCTTTACTCCTTTACCACTTCCTCTCTGTTTTGATACCAGTAGATGTGATAAGAAGCGGTATTCAATTAAGCTGAACTGAAAAGTACTAGCCAAAAGCAGGACACTAGTAGAATGCTCATCTTCCAGACACAACTCATGGAAGAGACGCAGTATTCGCAGCAGGGTTCCTTTTCTTTTAAGTAGGTCGTAAACCAAAACCTCTGCTTTTTTCCTTCCTAATCCAGTAGCACAGCAACAGAAAGAGACTGACATGCTGGTGTTACTGGTGTAAAGATGGTTTGCTATATGCTGAACTTGCTGACTTTTGTGCAGAGTGGTGAACAGCTCAGACTATATGACATTTGTTTGTGTGAATTAAGGTTCCTTTTTCTTACCTGTTGTGTGTCATGTGACTCTTGACCAGGTGACCAGCAGCCAGAGCAGCCATGAGCGAGAGCTCTCCAGCCAGCACGGTGGCACACACAACTCTGGCTAGCTGCCGGGCGTTCTCCCCTGGACACTCCTGACTGGCTCCCTGCACACCCAGCATCTGCGCACACACACACACACACACACACACACACACACACACACACACACACATATTAATTACCACCAAAATAATGCAGACAAAACTGAAGAAACATTTTCCTGTTTGAGTAATAACATTTGCGTTTTAAGTTGGCTAAAATGTGTGTGTGTGTGTACCTGGAGGCAGGCTTGCTGGGGGGGCAGGTTGGTGCCTCCTCCTACAGTGCCCAGCTCTATAGAGGGCATGGTGCAGCTAATGTACAGGTCCTCCCCTGTTGGTCCTGATGCCTCCATTAGGGTGATACAGTTACTGCTGCCAACGGACTGGGCTGGATCCTGGGGGGGACACACACACAGCCACACAGATTAACACAGGAAACACAAGAATACCTTAAAATGAACAAATGTACAATAGCACTGCTACTTTACCTGTCCGCAGGCGATGTAGATGGCAGCCACCAGGTTGGCTGCGTGTGCGTTACATCCACCGATGCTACCCGCCATGGCTGAGCCCACCAGGTTCTTACTGATGTTCACCTCCACCAGAGCTCCTGTCGTCGTTTTCAAGACCTGCAGCACAGGGACAAGGGGTAGGTGTGAGTTCGCTGATATAGAGTTAATATGAGATAAGACGACTCTAATGAATAGGGTACAACTTAAACTAAAAGGCTAAAGGAATTCATATAAAACTCAAAACACATGATGAGTTTACATTTCACGATCCCACACTAGAAGGGATCTTTCAAGGTCAGCATTTCAAATTTGACAGGGATAAGCTCATTGCTGCCATATTTTTTTAATTTAATTCACCATTTTCAAATGTATTGCCTTTTAATTGTAACAGGCGTATTATTCCAAAGGAGCTTAGAAGGATGCCTCTGGCAAGGGAAGTGCCATTAAGAGACACATGAGGAATTACTAAAGTCTTAATGTTATCTTTCCTTTTAATGACAGTATTTTCCCCTTTCCAATGTGATGTTTTTTTTTATGTTTTCTATTTTCCATTCGTAATTTAACTTAACTAGAACTTTTAAATTATATAATAATCAAATGATATATAATATGAATCCCCAAAACATCTACGGATCCCTTACAGCACTTAACTGGAACTGGGAAGAATAGGACTAAATCTTATCATAATAGTGCTTTTTCTCATAGTTTGGCTTTAATCCATATCATCTAGAAAGATTTAAATCATGAAGATAGTTGCTGAGTCTAGGTGTCTGAATTTTACTTCAGGAAACCAGAACCCAATGTCGCGTTTATTGATAATTGTATTACTTCCAACTACATTCAAGGATTTTGAAGGGCTGACAGGGCTATGCTTTCCAAATACTTGGCACCTCAAAATGTGCAGCAATGCAAGCCAGCACCAGCATCTACTGTACACTGGCTATGACTATGGACTAAATTTCTGTTGATAGACACAAGGTGAATGGGACAAATGATTAATGTCAGTGAATGCTGTACAGAATCCTGGCTCTTCCTACCTCTCTGACCACTTTAGCGGGGATGGTGGCCTCGCAGACGGCAGACTTGCCCCTGCCTTCGATCCAGTTGATGGCGGCCGGTTTCTTGTCGGTGCAGTAGTTCCCGCTGACAGCCACCACCTGCAGCTCTGGGAAGTGCTGCTGCAGTCTGCTCAGAGCCTGCTCTGTGCCCTGCAGGCAGACCGTGTGTTAGTCATCATACATGAGAGACACTGGGATTACATCAAACACTTTACTGCAATGATTCTGTCAAATAACTGTCATCAGATATGTATATAATGTTGTGTTCATGTGCATCTGACACACTAAAAGTACCTTAGAGATCATGTTCATCCCCATGGCATCACCAGTCTTGGAATGGAAGCGGATGTAGAGATTTCTCCCGGCCAGACAAACCAGCAGCTTCTGGAGCCGAGCAAACCTGCCAACGTCAACAACAGACTCTTTCACACAAATGTAGACACACAACGGACACTGAGCTCGTACCTTTGAATTCTAGGTCTGTCTATGTCAGCTTTCATGTTTTACCTGCTGGTGTTGTCAAAGGCCTCTTTGATGGCCTGAAACCCGTCTGTACTCTCCAGCCAGGCCTTGACCTCAGCAGCCTGGCAGGCAGAGGGCAGCCTCACCACGGGTCCTCGAGTCATGCTGTCAGCCAGGATACGACTGCTGGCTCCGCCTCCCAGCTACAGCGCGAGGGGGGACAGGGCCACGAGTTAGATACAGTGCATATTATTACATGATGAAGGGAACTTCATCTACAGCTCAGTGCCAATTGGTGATACTATAAATTCAAGCTTTAACACAGGTCCTACAACCACTTTGTGATGTAAGATTTCAAAGCCACATGTGAAATAGACGCCTACACAAACGTGATTTACCTGTATCTAATGACCTAGTCACCAGTTATTGTATGGTTTTAATTATTTTAGTAAGAAAACTATGACATTTCCCTCACAAACCAACAAACTACACCAACAGACAGCACTCTCCGGTAAGACCTTATCAACAACGCAGCTGACACTCACAGCAATCGCTCGACAACCACGGTTGGTACTGGCAACCAAGCAGCCCTCTGTGGTTGCCATGGGAACCTGGAACTGCTTCCCATCCAGATGCAGCGGTCCAGCCACGCCCACCGGTACGGGCATGTAGCCAATCACATTCTCACAGCAGGCGCCAATAACCTGGAGAAACAGAAATGATCACGACCAGGAAAACAGGAAGTTTTACAGAGAGGGCGGCAAGTTTGTTGTTTGTGTGTGTGTGTTGTGTGTGTGTGTGTGTGTGTGTGTGTCTTCACCTTGGAGTAGTCGTAGTCAGTATATGGCAGAGAGGAGAGTGCAGAGGGAGTGGGAAGCTTGGCAGATATCATCTGCCTTCGTATGGCCACTCCTCTCTCTGGTCTCTCCATCATGGCCTCCAGTTTGTATGCAGGGATGTGTTTGGAGTTGACCAGCAGCATCACCTCAGCGTCACTCAGGAAACAAGGCCCCAGCTGCAAGAGACAAACATGCAATGCCTCACTTTTGAAATCTCTGCAACTCTTGACAGATCTTTATGTTATGTCTTTTACTGCAAATAATCACTGAAAATCAGCCAGGAAGCTTCACATTGGATAAAACAAAAACACTATATACATTATAGATTATACAAACCGTAGTACATACATTTATTTTTCAAAACAACACATTAAACCATTATTCAAGTTATCCAGATTCACTTCAGGGGACATCTTTGTGCTGTTGTATTTGTACTGGCTGTAGAGTAGGGCTGTCACGATTTTGATTCTAAATTGAAAATTGATCTGAATGAGCTCATCGAAATCAAAAGCAGGATCGGTCATTGTCTGAGAAAAATAACGTGTAGTTCATTGTTATCCTCCAGCTGGACTTTTCGACTTGAAATGGCGACTGTTGGAGTCGGAGGTGACGGAGGAGAAGAACTGGAAAATCTACTTCCCTGAAGCGACTGGTGTGGTAACATTTTTCTTTCCCTGTGAGTTATGTCAACGACAAATGCGATGCTGACAGAACGTTTGTAGGCTATGCTACACACACACACACACACACACACACACACACACACACACACACACACACACACACAGACACAGCACATACATACTGCAAAAGGCCCTCCATGGAAGAATAGATAAAAATGGCTCACTCTTAGGTAAAAAATAGGGCTGTTATATCACACTTGTCACTACATAGCCATCTTTGTAAATAATCCACACTCAATAGTGTTTACAACATGAAAAGTCGAATCGAATCATGTATTTGGTGGATTTGGAGAATGACTGTAGACTGGAAGTGATCACCTGCTATGATAGTTGTATATGTCATTTGGCCTACTCATATCTCCTAGAAGAAATGTTTGGTGCAGTGTTGGAGAAGTATATCCAATTTGCAATGAAACCTCAGGTCAAGTCTGAGAAAGTGCAAAGGTGATCTGAGTGAACTGAGGACACACAGAGCCGGAGGAATCAGCGCAAGTGTCTTTTCTATTGGCGTCATGCTCTAATTGGTTCAGCCTCAAAGAGATAGTGGAGTGACTAAGCTCATTACAGTGTAGTTAAATCACACAACCGCCTCAATATGTTATTGGTGGGATACGGTTCCATGACTGAAACAGACACCTTAGGGAGCTGGGAAGTAGGCCAGGGTGACGTTACAATTCAGCTAACTTGAGAGGAGGTTATCTGAGCTGTGAAAAGAGAGGTTTTATGGGTTTATGTGTGATGTCTTACATCAGGGCTGTTGAGGATGGCCACACATTCGTCCAGGCCTCTGGGCGTCAGGGGGATGCTCAGCTGATTGGTCTTGGGCCTGAGCTCCTCCTCGCCCCCCCCCACGACAAAGAAGCTTTTTTGCTGGGGATCAGCGGGTGGGGCAGACAGGGGCCGGATAACCTCATCTAGGGGAACAAAGTAGAGTTGTATACCATGGTGCTAAACAAGTCCATTTGCTACAGCACATCCCCGAGCAAGCACTCACCTCTCTCTTCCATGTTGGTGGGGGCCGGGGCAGCCACGGTCTGAGTGGGGGCGAGGGGTCGGGGAGTGTACGGCTCCTTCCTACAGCAGGTCTCAACGGGACGTCGTGGGGTCAGGGCGGGGGCGGACATAGTGATGGGGTTCTTGAGTGACAGTGTAGACTCCATCTCAACCTGCTCAAAGAAGATGTACTTGATAGCCAGCAGCAGGGCCAAGGCCAGACAGATCACCTGCTCTATGTCCATGGTTATCATCCTGTAGGGGAAGAGGGACAGTAACAAGCAGAACAAGTCTTTATTATTGATTACACAAGTTGACAATCATTTTAATGTTCTCTGTGCTGAGATATCAAATGGGGTGCTGAATTGCAAAAATAACAAGATAATTAAATCACTATCTTGGGATAAAGGTCATTTGGTACCATTTTGTAAGGATATTTAAATTGCAACTAATTTAGTTCCAATTTGCTTTATAAATGTTAACACAACTTCACCTGCCTCCGAGGTGCGTGGAAAAGGGAAAAGAGTTTGAAACTCCAACAACACTTGTATTAAGTAACTTTATTGTCATCAACAGATGAAGCCCCTGAACTTGTTGGTATGTCAATAAAAATGCCTCTCAAGTTTTACCTACCTACTTCACATCCTGACATACATGAGCTTAACTGCATCTTGTGGATGCGTTGCATTCATTTTCAGGGTTCCCACTCTTTTTAACAAATTGTTTTCCAGGACCTTTCCACGACATTTTCCAGGAGTTTTTCTTGATAATACAGGACAGCACTTGCTCACAAACTATCATTAAAGCTGCAGTTACTACATTAATTTAGTCACAGCCAATGAGTAACAGTTCAATCAAATACAAAGCACAGAAAATTCATCTTTCCACGAGTTTCCATGACTGGAAAACTAGTCACTAAATTTCTGGGTTTTCCAGGACGCATGGGAGCCCTGATGTTCTACAACTAATGCAGGAAATCCAGGGTAGCCACTGCAAATATGTAGTTAAAAGCAAGCATTTCACCAGCTTTACCTGGTGAGGTAGAAGTGCCAGAGTGGTTTCTCTGGCTCGATCCTCCTGGGTGAGAGGTGGTCCAGTTCCATGCCGACCTGTGGGATGTCCACTGTGGTGTTGATGGACAAGGGCTCGGCGATCCAGCGGCTGTGGGCGTGAACCATCACCAGGCCCAGAGACTGCACGCAAAGCAGAGAGGAGAGATCACACTCCCATTCAAACAAAAGCAAAGAAACAAATGAAAAAAGATAGGAATTACCATGATCATTTTGACTCTCTGGGTTACAGGGTTGGGTTTGTTGTCCTCTTCCTCCTCCATCACTCTGGAGAAGTGGCTCAGCTGCCAGATAGGATGGCCCTCCTGACTCTCGCGGGACAACTAGAGGAGCAAACACAACCCAGTCAATCAATGTGACGTTAACACACACGTGTACACACATACAATGAATGAAATGCTGCACCCTTACCTCCAGCACCAGTGACACACAGGCGGGGAAGAAAGTCATGAACACAAAGTAGTTGGCCAGGACAGACATGCAACCAAAGCAGCACATGATTTCCAACTGCCGCACGCCTAAAACATACGAGACAGATACTCAGGCATTCACAAGAACAACTTCCATGAGAGGTGGCCACTATATTACCAAAAATACCAAAACAGAAAACCACAATTCAATGATTGACTGATTTCACAATGCAAGCCTTAAACCTCCCTCAAGGAATAACACATATATATTTGCAGTAAAGGAATAACTCCAAATAAAAGCAAGTACCTGACATGGTTCCCACTCCGATCACTAAGCACTCCACCAGGGCGTCCAAAGTGAAAGTAGGTCCCAGTACTGCCATGCCGCGAGCAATGTTGTCCCTCACTTCATCCTGAAAAAGTTGCAGTACAATATACCAGTCAGGGCTACTGCTGAGTCTCATTCGTTGCAATATGATGAGTGAACATTTCTTCCTACCTGAGAACTGGAGCTTAGAGCGTACTTGGCGAGAGCGCATGCTTTGGAGAGGTCGATGAGGAGCAGGAAGAAGGGCAAAGCCTCACTGGAGGTCAGAACAGAACAATCAACTGGAGTTTCTAACAAGAGACACTGATAAGACAGGGCAGTGTGCAGAGTGTGTCCTTACTTGAGGCCTGTGAGCTCTTTATCAAGAAAGTGAATGACCACTGTGCTGAATACGAAGCTGGAGAATATGGTGAAAAGGCCGGCAATGCCTGCAAGAGAGTAGATGAGTAGATGCATTTTAGCTTTCTATAGCTAGCTAGGTGAAAAGATCTACTTCCTCTACAACCCACAGCATCTTATAAACATGAATATTTTACCTAAAATATATTTGGATCCCAGCTGTCTCAGGTTCTGGAACTGGAAGTAAATGTAGACGATGGCAATGCAACGTGTGATGGTCAGGATGATGATATCGCTGCTCAGAATTTGCTGTAAAAAGAGAAGAAAATCTGATCAGCAGCAAGGTCGTTTAAATTTAAAAACCACTCTCACGTCTGTATGATAAATATAAGGCTACTGGTTAGCTTAGTTTAGCACTAAGACAGCTATCCTGGGGTATTTAATCGTGTTCATTTCTAAAGTGTTCCTGCTGGACACAAGATGTCTCCTACTTCACTGTAAAGTCCATTCTCAGTGGATGTGCACTGGTGGCTTCAAGTTTCTACGTCACACTGTACAAGTTGCATACTGGACCAGGACTGACTTCCAAACCTGCTATTAGGCCACGCCCCTTAAAATCAGATATTCAATGAGCACAGAGAAACTTTCCACTTTCAGCAGATGAATGTGAAAACATCATTCTAGTGTCAACCTCTGCACTGACAGCATTCAAACAGCACACTGTAGGGACAAGAAGGAACACTGAGGACTTTAAGGATTTATAGCTACTGGTCATGACAATACATATTCATGTTTAATCTGGATCAGGGCACTGAGGTTAGTAAAAGTATTCATATAGTATCAGCACTTACTGTAAGTGTGACATATAATCTGAGTTGCAAGTGGGAGTACAATCCTGAGGCTCTTTAAATCTAGGTCGGTGGCCTACATCGTGTGGCGGATTCACTGCTACAGATAACTGACATGTCCTCGACCATCTTGTTCACTCACCTCCTCTGTTTTGGGGCAGTCAAAGTTCCAGCCACAGATCTGGTCATTGCCAGTGAACATGTTCATGGACATCATACAGATGGTGAGGGTGACCGTGCCGACGATCACCTCCCAGGGGTGGGAGGCCACCAGGAGGCCGTGCATGCGGAACAGACGGGTCAGCATGGTGCAACGGAGCTGCCAAATAACACAGAGTCATGTAAGCTGGGAGGAGCTGACTGTGTGAGTGTTTATGCTACTTTACAGTCAAGTTCAAGGGAAACATGGCACTTTTCACATCAATTCACTTACATGACAGCTGCAGGTACAGATCAAACAAAACATAGGATCATCTTGTAAAATATGTTTAACTGAATGTTTAAACCATCTGATGATGTGTTGGCTGCACATCAAATAACTACATTACACTGCTACTTCCATATATTAATAATAGCAACCATAAAGTTATATGGGGAAGATAGTTCTTAAACAGCCAGAAAGGGGGCATTCTGCATCATGAATGCCTATTTTTCCAACTCTATGCTTTCACATAAATAAAATGGTCAATGCAGGACTTTTTTACATGGTGGTGTTACTACTTTTATTTATGAGTAGTTCTTCTTCAGGTCTCTGAGGTGTTCAGACCAGGGACTTTTGGTCCAGGGCTTTTGTCATACAGCCAAAACAGGAGTCTTAAAGAAATAAATTAGTTCAGTTTCCAAAATTGACATTGATATGAATACTATCAGAAAAAACATAATTTTAACAATCCATTAAATCAATCAAAAATCAATTAACCCATTTTTTTTACGTCCTTTGTTGGAACTGTCTGGGCTTGCCTTAGCACAAATCTTAAGAAGTTTTTTTAATCAGTTTAAAACAGTTTGGCTGAAAAGTGTGTTTTTCTTATCCTACTATTACTATATTAAGTCTTTGGGCACATGGGAGTACTGATTTTTCAAAATATGGTAGAAAATGCCATGAATAAGCAATGAAAATGTAGGGATTTTTATTATTTTCAGTACACACATGCAACGGGCAAAGTTTATAAAACTATTATTAGTTAAACAGCAGGTAAAAACATTGGCTTGAGGGGTCATTCTCCATTAGTTTCAATGGGTTTTAATGGCCACTGAAACTAATGGATGAAGCGTGACCCTTTGCTTCTGTTAGACCTGAGATCAGATCTTTTTTGAGATAACTTCTGGGAGTCCCATGTGTCCAAAGACTAAATATAGTATGATAAGAAATTGGCTGTATCTCAGAAACTAGGAGAAGCACAATCAATATTTGATATCTATGAACTCATAACAAGTTAAATGTACATTTTAAAATGTTTTAATTTAAAGTTGTACTGTTAGATACTCGACAGTATGTAAGTACCAAATTTCAAGACTTTTAGACCAGTAACAACAAATGTTTTAGTATTTTTCCATATCAGAGTATAGTCTTTGGGCGCGAACGGGTTAAATAGGACATACAAATATCTGTATTATTAATATTAAATGAATTACTCTTTGAATGCGTCAGCTCAGTAAAAGATTACAAATGAACACACTACTCTCAAATCCCTGCTACTTTTTCTCTTTATTTGCTAAATCAGCCATAAATTCTATCATTCATTAATCCACTACCCGCATTTACTTTAAATATTAAGACATGGCATTTTTGGGGGGAAGAGAAACATCAATAATTGGTGCTATTTTTCCATGCTGGTTATAGAAATCATTCATTTGCGTTAATATATCCTACTCACTGCATTTATTCTATGCAACGTACCAACGGTGCGGCTTTGTTGCGGCTTTGGTCCCCGCTCCGCTGGCGGTCTATTTTTGACGTACCGACGCGCGTCTGTAAAGATGGATTTAGTCGTCCATGTGGCCTGTCCTCGACTGTATTTACCCAAAACGGACATAAAATGAATATTTCAGACAGCCGTTGTGACTTACCTTCGGAGGGCAGGAGAATGGTGGTGAGTGAGAGTGAGTTTTGATGGTGAACAGCTTCCAGCCTCCCGGGGTGAAGAGCAGAAAGCCGGTCTCATCGACACTCTGCCGCTGACTGAAGACCGATGGAACGATGGCACGCTACTACATCTTCCGACACTTCAGCCAATCAGGTCGGTCACCTGCTTCACGAGCGCTTTATCCACGCCCCGTTTCCTAGGCGACAGCGAGGACGTCTAATCTCACCACTGACACACGGTTGTACAGCAGAGACTGCAGCCTATAGGGAGTGGGCTAGCTTCTGTGTGCGCTACTGGGCAGGATTTACTCTGGTTAACGCCGTTTAATGTAGATTTGTGATAGTTCAACCGAACAGTTTGTTCTTTTGTCTGTTCAGTTGCAGCTGTTTGACTCAGTGTCTTATAATGCTTTACACTTCAGAACCTAAAACTGTATAAATGTATAATAACTTAGATCAGGAAGTAAAATGAGGTTAGTGGGTGTCTAATGCAGTAGGCTGTATGTTTCTTCTATTGAATGGAAACCTGTTTTCTGAAAACTGAAACCAGGGGATCTAGAGTGGTGGCATTGTGTGGGGTCAAATGCTGTCAAATTGAACAATTTAAGTTCAATTCAAGTTAAACAGAACAGAACAGAACTTCATTTAATGATCTGGTGGTTATGACCACTTTCAGTTCACTTCACTTTATTCTTTTAAAATGTTAAAAATTAGTTTCAAGAATTTATTTGAGTTTTTTTCTTTATAATATGGGGCTATTTGTCAGGTAAATAAGTTTAAGCAGTTCAGAATAGGCATTACAATACAAACACATTGACTCAAAGTCAACAAAAAGTTTAGTTCATTTTGTAAGTACACAATATTGTTTCAGTTAGTTTTCTTTTTCCAAAGTCAAGTTTTTATTTTTATTTCAGTTAACAGAAACGTTCTTTTATTTTAGTTAACTATAATACACTTGGCCTATGAGTTACATTGTACAATTAATGTCACCTGAAAAAAACAGAGAAAACAGTGAGTCATTTGAAACAAACTGCTAGGGGTAGCTAGTGTCCCCTAAGCCCCTCCATGGCACTGCCTATTCTGATGCACTGCGATATGCCCAGTATCAGCTGTAATAGGCTGAGGTGTGTTCTACACCAGAGCTTTATAATGACATTACTGTTAAACTGTGCAATTGAAGGATGTTTTGCCATCAGAATAAAGGAAACCCTAATACAATTTTACTGAGATCCCTATAGACAAAAGTAGTACTGTCTACTACTCAAGTTAATGTGTTTGCTCTGAGGAGGGATACTGTCATCATTGAACCTTGACCTGGATAGATAGGCCTATGGCCTGTGTCCATGCACACGTGTGACCAATATCCTTTGTACTTAATACCGCAAATTCATGCACAAAATATAGAGCTTCTATTTATTCTTATAATAACATAAGATTGTGAATAAGTCTCATTTTCTACTCTCATGCAGATTAATTTTTACTGATATAACAAAGTCACTTTACTCTGGTATGGGCCCAGTAAACCTGGCAAAGAGTCATGGTCAATGTGGTAGTGAAATATCAGAATCAGATTCAGAATTCCTTTATTTTCATTGTCACAGATGTTACAACGAAATTGGTTAAGCAATCTATCCTCTGTGTATGTCTAAAAATAATTAAATAAATAACCATGCATACCTACATATAAAACCCACATCCATGCACACACTCATCTAACAGCTTTTAATTAAAAACTGGACTGGACAGAACACACTGAGGCTCTCTACAAGAAAGGACAGAACAGGTTGTTCTTTCTGAGGAGGCTCAGGTCATTCACTCGGCTACTACAGATGTTCTACCAGTCTGTAGTGGCCAGTGTCCTCTTCTATGTGGTGATCTGGGTGGAGGCATCGGCACTGGGGGAGCCAACAAGCTTAGCAAACTGGTGAGGAAGGCCAGCTCGGTGCTGGATTACTGCAAGTCTTTATTATCAGGTTGCCCCAATAAGTCGATTAAGACGCTCCAATTAATTCAAAACGCTGCAGCACGAGTACTGACAGGAACTAGAAAAAGAGATCACATCTCTCCTGTACTAGCTTCTCTGCATTGGCTCCCTGTAAAATGTAGAATAGAATTTAAAATCCTCCTCCTCACCTACAAAGCTCTTCATGGTCAGGCCCCTTCATATCTTAAAGAGCTCATAGTACCCTATTACCCCACTAGAACACTACGTTCTCTGAATGCTGGGCTACTTGTGGTTCCTATAGTCTCTAAAAGTAGAACAGGAGCCAGAGCCTTCAGTTACCAAGCTCCTCTCCTGTGGAACCAGCTTCCAGTTGTGGTTCGGGAGGCAGACACCCTCACCACATTTAAGAGTAGGCTTAAGTTGTTCCTCTTTGATAAAGCTTATAGTTAGGTCTGGATCAGGTGAGTCCTGAACCATCCCTTAGTTATGCTGCTATAGGCCTAGACTATCGGGGGACTTTCCTTGATGCACTGAGCTCCCTCTCTTCCTCTCTCTTTCTGCACTCATTCATGTCCCATTAATGCATGTTACTAACTTCACTTCTTCCCCGGAGTTCTTGTGCTTTCTCATCTCGCAGGTTCTTATCGATCCTGGTGGAGCCTCCTGCCATGGTCCTGCTAGATTGCCATTACCAATACTGTTGTTGCTGTGCACCTGTCTGTCTGTCTGTCTGTCTCTCTCTCTCTCTCTGTCTCTCTCTCTCACCCCAACTGGTCGAGACAGATGACCACCCACCTAGAGCCGAAGGATCTGTCCTAGGTTTCTGCCTTTTAACAGGCAGTTTTTCCTTGCCCTTGTCGCCAAGTGGACAACCCCTCACATCCTCTCTACACTGAGCTGAGGCAGCTCAGGAGCACTTTCAGCTACAGACTGATCCAGCCCCGAGTCTCGAAGCGGTTTGGAGGCTCGTCTGTTCCATCTGCCATCAGACTCCACAACGCCACAGCACCCAGTACCTCCAACCCCCGTAGACTAAGACTGGTTTAAAACTCCTACCTACAACGCACAAACCTTTTGCACTATTTATATTTAATTTCCACTTGTACAGTTTAGTTTTAGTTTTCTTCAAGTTTAATTTTTCTGCTCATATTTTGCACTCCATGTCCTACTTGAACAATGCATAGTGTATATACTTTCATTTATAGTTTTATATCTTATAATATAATATATTATATATTATTATATATATTTTGTATTTTGTAATATTTTTATTTGTGATATTCTTTGTTCTGTTTTGCACTACTTTGCCCTATTGCTGCTGTGTCAACCTGAATTTCTCCTAAGGGGGATAAATAAAGGAATATCTTATCTTAATTATATTAAGTTATTATTGTTATGTTGTGCTTTTTGGAGAATTGAAGTATGTTTTCTCAAAAACAAAACCTTTCATTACTATTTATTATGATAATATCTGTTGGGCACTATTACAGTAAAATTACAGTAGAATATACTACATGTGTTTCAATTATTTGTTTTTTCTGATCATTGTCCCACACAAGATGCTGAACTCCCCAGAAGAACATGACGTGCTCATTGTCTCTGTCACTTCATGTCTGTCAGTTTTATGAGCCAACATATGTTTCAGTTTGTGCTGCCATCTAGTGAGTGGTATTGAAGTAGACCATTTGGTTCAAGCATTTTAAGTAGGACTCCGGTATGGCTGGAATCAAATAACCACTGAAAGTTCATCTCACCCTGATGCTGTAAGGAAAGCATGAGTTGTACTGGAGATAAACCCAGGCCCGGCCCTAACCAATTTGGCGCCCTAGGCAAGATTTTAGGTGGCGCCCCCCTTGCATCGCAGTAAATTCCACTGCCAGTTATACACATACATATACTCACGAAAGAAACTGAAGAGCTTTGTCTTTGACATTTTATTTTATTTTTAGAGAAACAAGTTGCTCAATCAAAACAGTTAACAAGAAAATAATAAATTAGAAATAAATAATACAAGAAATGTAAAATAAATAGCCTACACAAAGTATAAAATTTAACTACCTACAAAATAAAAACTGTAAACAAGTGATATATAAGGGGGATCACTTGATGCTGTTGAAGCAGTGATGACATTAGATGGCCCAGGATTTGCAGGAAGTGGATTTAGATATTTCAACAGCGCATCTGAAGAGAGAAGAGGAGTAAGAGACACAGTTGGGTGTTACAGTCTAATAATAAAAGAAATAATTCCAAGAATAAAATTAAATAATAAAAATGAACAACCTAAGAGATGCATTACTTTCACTGTACTGTACATGAATGATATACAGTGCAATTTATTCTGATATGCAAATTAGATTAGATTTAATCTTATTGTCATTACAGTGCAATGCTGATTAGCAGAATGTAAAGAAGCAGTAAATTGTAGTATAATATAACATATGGGAATGTATTAACATTAATGATGTGCACTTTAACATGGATGTAAAGTTTAACACTATAAACACACTTTAGACAATACTGAACTGTAACACAACAAACAACAAGGCTTCCAACTCTGATATATAAAGGTGTGTGACTGTTACAAGCAGAGCAAACGTTACCTAACAATAATAAATACAAATAAAAATGTAGACAAATGTTAACAGCTGCTGAATAGATGTAATCTTTACAAATGTCCCTGAGAAATAGAAGGTGGGAGTATTATATATATTATTGGCCCCTCCATAACATGGACTGACGTTAACTGTTAGGCTAAGGTTACTATCGTTCTGCAACAGATAAATCATTTCATCACATTATCTTCACTCTACCTCTGTCTTTGTCCCGTTTTTCCTCCTCTTCTTTTCTTTTTTTCCTTCCCTGGGCACCGGACAGTTTTGGTGGTTTTGCCATTGTTAATGGTTTCTGGGGTGACGTCAGAAAACTCCACCATCTCTCAGAGAGCAGGTAGAGTCTAATGAGTCAGAGGAGGGGGGGGGTGGGGGGCTTCATAAAGTCTTATTATTGTTTAATAGGCTTTGCTGTGCAGTTAAATTAATGTGGGTTTATTTTTTCATACTAAGAAATAATAGCGCCAACTAGCTTTAGTATAAAAATATTGAAAGTTGCACTTTTTTTTTTTTTCTTCCCCCATTGTGGCCCCCCAGATGGACGGCGCCCTTAGCATTGGCCTGTACTGCCTATGCCACAGGCCGGCACTAGATAAACCAGTTTATTCTCAGCAGCACCCCTGCGCCCTCAAAACCATCATCATGAGCTCACTGACATCAAGTGCCTGTCAAGCATTAGCGGATCATTCATATGTCAAATATCTGAGTAGGAATGGGACGTCTGAATTGAGGTAAGGGCTTGTAAAAAGCTGTCTGGATGAAAACAATCAATCAGAGCAGAGAAAGAGGGGGTCCCAAAGTGTCTGTATTTGACGCCCTGGGAATGAGACTCAGCAGTCACCTAACGTATCACTGTTGTTTTCATCCGGGCCCGGTAGATTCTTGTAAACACCATTATGAGCACTAGGAGGAGCCAGAGGAACCTGATCATTTCACACATTATCTGTCTCATGTGCTACTGTCAGGATTTAGGGAAAGTTTCAGCAAACATACAACACGTTTGTTTTAAATAAAAATGACACCTATTACTACTGCAGCTTTAAAATGACCATATCTACCATATCTTCTCAGAAGAGATGTCGGAGAGAATCAGAAGATGTGTGCACATGTTCGGTAAATCTCATATTTCAATATGAGGGAGCAAAATGATTCTCCCTGTTTAAGGTAGTTAATGTCCTCAAAGCACTACAGACTCAAGGGCATATGTTAACGGTACGTTTTTCTACGTTACTGTTGTTTTATGTACAGGAGAGATATGTTTTTCTACTGGTGTGTTGTTTAAACATTCACTGAATAACTCAGTCGATGTGTAAACTCAATTAGCTGTCAGTAAAGAGCTAGCTACTGACTTCGCGCCGCTCCTCGCGCTCCTCTTTCACTAGTGATTCAGATCATTTGGCTAAAAGCTAAAAGAGCTCTTTTGAGTCCCAAACATCTCTTCATTTAATACCACTCATGGTTTTTAGGTTTTTATAATTGCATTGTTCTGACCTATGATTGTATGTGTGCTCATATATCACAAGAACCCCCTGAAACACCGGCCATGTTGTGGCCAGCTAGCTAACTAACGAATGTTCTCTGAAGTTGAAGATTGATTGACAGGTGAATGGAGTAATGTTATTGGTTGAAATCGGTTAGTTGCTGCTTATGTAAGTTTACAGGAAGACAAAATGATGGATTGGATTTTGATGTAAAATACAAAGAAATTAAGTTTTTGTGAATGTTTTGGCATACATTGTTAAATAGGATTATAATATAACCAAGGATGCAATATTAAAGGGTTAAAATGACATGTTTCATTTCACCTGGACTTTAAATTATTCAATGTAATTATACTAAACCTTAATGAACAAACAGTGTTGAACATTACATTGGTTTTGAATTAGGTTCTGTATGTTGTCGCTATATACAAGCCCACAATGCTTGGCTCTTAATATTATTAATTAATAATAGCTAATTTCTTGCTTATTTATAAGTTAGGCTAATGTAAGACAGAAAATCATCCAGAAAGTCATAGAGCTGACTTATTCCTGAATAGCACATCATTATACCCACTCAGATAAGAGCTGTGAATTATCCTCTAAATCCTTCCCGATACTATTCGCCCAGTTTAAGGCTAGAGATAGTGCACATTGCTCAGACCTTTCAGTTTTTATGTTTTAGCAATTTATTAATTTCCTAGTGGGGGTAGTTTTAGTTGGCATTAGAGCGGGGGTCTCAAACTCAAATTGTCTTGGGGCCACTGCTGGTATTGTCATCTCATAGGAGGGCAACTTCAGTGTTCAGGTACTACAAAAAAGCGCAATATGAGTGGGAGTAAGGGCCGTAAAAGCTGGCTGGCAGTTTGAGAACCCTGCATTAGAGCATTGATCACTGATCCACTCAGTGAAAATACTTTTTCTGCCATGACTCATTGTTATTTGTAATTTTTGGGTTCAACACAAACAAGGCACTTTCTACTGCGAGTGCATTGGAGAGAAATGCATTTCCTTCATCCCTACAATGGTATAAAAAGATCATAAATTAAGTTAATTCACTTTAGCTGGAGACAATAATTAAACAGTAAATGAAAGCTTTTTTAATATCTCCACACCCAAACTCATGGGAAATCACAGTACAAACACAAAGCCCAGTTACTCAGAAATCTCCATGGCAGTGAGCAGCTCTAAAAGAGCTGTGCTAACCACGCCTAGTCTCAGTGAGACAGCACTCACAGCACAGACAGAGTCAGTGCTGCAAAACCCAAAAAGGGAACAGGGTTAGGGCGAGAAGGTTGGGATAAGTGTGATTTTGTCACAGGAAACTGCTCTTCCCTTTCTATGAACAGTCAACCACCATCTTTTACTATCCAAGTAGGTTTTGTGCCAGAGAAATCATGTGCAGGGTTGCCAAGGGTCTGCAAAGTACTTGAAAGTGCTTGGATATACTGAGCAATAAAGAGGTGCTTAAAAGTGCTAGGATTTAGCCTACCAGAATCTCTGAGTTTGAGTTGTGTGTTCTCTGTCATTCTCATATGATGATTTTTATACACCTGGAGTGTTGGGCCAAGCCTGATAAACTGTCTTACTGTCTGTTTCTCTCTGCATAGGCCACAAGCACACAGCGATTTGTTGATCACTGTGCTGTGTCATTGGCTGTTATGCTTTCTGTAGGTGATTTTTAGCAAAAATAGGGTTAGGTTTATGGTCGTCTCGGTAGCCTGCATTATTTAGAAGTGTGAAAACACAAAGGAGTAGCCAGGGCCGGGATAACTAGAGAATGGTAAGAAAATGGTGGTTTAACTAATTGGGCTGGGTTCTGTTGGTTCGTCTCTCGATTGTGTATTGTATTTAGTGTTTTTGGGTCTCTCTTCATTGGTGCTAGGCCCTCCCTTCCTATGGCTAAAACATTATAATACAAAAAGTCTTGTATCTGGGTCAATATTAAACTGGCCAAGTTGCAGTGAGTTTCTACTGCCATTCTACTACCATTCAAGTCTTTGCATTTCACTGTACTGGTTAGACTGGTATATGTAAACATCTGCATGAATTATTGGCTCTTAATTTTGGAATGAAATGTATCCTTATAAAAGCGGCAACCCTGCATATGAATCCTTTTTGTCAACAATGTCAGAAACAGAAAAGACTCGTATTGGAAGACTTTTTTTTTTTTTTATCGAGCAGCAAATACAGTATTTTTGATATTTTTTCATTTGAGCCTTCTGTCTCTGTATCTGTGTCTTTTTCTTCCAGAGACATCCTGGAGATGACTGACGACTATACTCGGGAACATGAGCGGAATGGAGATGAATCACTGTCCGATGATGACTCTGTAAGCTTGTTATGTGATCTTAATGCCTGCCGAAGCAGAGGGGCAGCTGAGGACATGGAAATAAGTGATTTAGATTCACAAGTTGGCAACAAAGAGTCGAAAAAGAAAAGGAAGATAAATGGACTCGAACCACCCGGGCCATATACATCCAGCTGTATCCGGTCTGCAGCAGGCCATGCTAATTCTACATCTCAATCAGGTTTTGATTTTAGAATCTCCTGAAACATCATGTTGCAGCAGAATATTGTTGTTTGTGCACTTTCCTGATTTTTGGCTTTTTCATGTTATGACAAGATGTTTTTATGGCATATTTTCTTGTTATTACTAGTTACCAAATCATTGTATTCACAAGAAGCGTTTCTTGTAATAACACCACATCACTTTACCTTACATTGTATTACTAAACTTTCTGGTTATTTCACAAAATCATCATTCAAACTTTTCTCATTAGAACATGATCAGTGTTTTAGCTATTTGTTACACCACTAGTTACTGGGGGGAAGTAATATTATTACTGTAATATTATTATTAATAATGCCTTACTGCCCAACACTGAACATGATAAACTGTTATGTTTTTATAAGATATATATTTGCTTTTAAAACAAGAAAAAGGTCCATTACTGCCTGATGAGACACTGCAGCCTGGAGCAACCATATAATATGATTGATAACTATATAACAAAAGAGGAGACTGCTGGGTTCTCATAGAACCCATTTTCATTCAGATATCTTGTCAGAGGTCAAGGGACCCCGTTGAAAACGGCTATGCAAGTTTTTCCATTGCCAAAATGTAGTCTAACTTTGGAGCGTTATTTAGCCCCCTTGCTAGCATGACAAGGTTGACACCAATGGATGTGTTAGGTCATCAGTTCATTCATAGTTTCATATGATACCAGTAGCTTCACTCTAGCTTTAAAATGGAGCCCACTACAGCCTCTAAAATACTGGAAGAGGGAAGGATAATGGGGTTGCACTAGTTGTGGCAAATCAGATTTCAGGTTTGGCCCCCCCACTGGACACGCCCCTGAAGATGGGCTAATGAGTCCCATAGAAAACATGCTTTGTTTAATTTGTGTTCAAATTGGCATGTTCTACCTGCCAACACTAAAGGGCTACAGACGATAACAAAGAGATGATTGGCTAACAATAGTTCCTTTTTTTAGGTTTGGGGAACTACAAAAAAAATCTACAGCCTCTGTTTTACTGTGTATGTTGTAAAGTAGTGCCTACTTAAGGTATGGAGTCCTGAGGTGGTACAGGCTTATGTGGATTGACACTATTGTTACACAGGAGGGCGCTGTTCATTGTGAGTACAATAAGTAGACACACCTCTTATGATAAGGTTTCTGCAGTAAATACAGTTGAACTGAAAACGAGTGTCCATCTAACAACTATGCAGGTATAGAAGATGAGAATATAGAACACTGACACAACAATGGTTCCCTTGTACCTGCATGTATGGGTCTGTACGCAGCGGTGGGGATTGCATGTATTAGTTTAACTACATTTTGCAGTAACTTGCTGGTAGTTCAACTACACTCATATTTGCATAGTGATTTAAGAAATTAAATTACTTTTTTGCCATTTTATGTGTAGTTAACTTCTGAAACTATTTCAACTTTTTTAAACTAGTATTTTGTTTTGGGCCATAGAATTTTACCATTGTTTTTCTACTGTAATCGAAGCCCATTTGATTAATCCCGTACCCTTTTTCTGTGAAGACGATGCATTCGTCAGGCACCCCCCACCACACACTTAACCTTTGTGCAGCACGTGCAAAAGGGTGGGTGTTGCTCAGTGTTCACACAGAATCATTATAAACCATCACTGGTTTATGGGTGTTTAACCAAGGATGGTTTATGTGTGACCTGTGAACAAGTGAGCTCGTTTTTGCGGTAAACTCAGTTGAGTGGCATTTTTCATTCTCACATATATTATATGTTATTATAATTTAGTATCATGTGTACATTGTCAATTTGATCGTTTTTCCATTTACACTGGAGGAAGTTGAACTTCTTCTGATCTAAAAGATAAAAGTTTAATTTGGTATCTAGTAATGACAAGGAAATACCTCATAGTAACTTGAAAAATATCTTGTTATAATGTGAAAAGAATCTTGTAAAAACAAGAACAATTTCTTCTTATGAGGAGAATCTGCACAAATATTTTTCTGTAATTTTGGCAACTGTATCACCGTAACTGAAAGTACTTTTCCCTCTGATTTGTGAGAGTGTTTGTTTGGGCATGTTTTATCTTTATTTACTTCTACTCCTACTACTAATTTTATTCATCTTCAAAACAGCAAATGCCTTGCAATGTGTGAAAATCCACACCAAGAGACAACTTAACAAGAGAAATGAAAAGGGAGAGACTCAGCTGCACAAAGCGTGCCAGAGAGAAGATCTGGCACAAGTCAAAGCACTCATTCAAGCTGGGATCAGTGTCAACATAGAGGACTACGCAGGTTGGTCACAGCTTAGTTTATTTGCACTTGATCGCTTGTATATTCTGAGATATTTTACCTCCATCTGTCACACCTGAAACAGTTATTAATTGTCAAACACAAAACCATCTTTTATGAGTAATTGTTGGCTTGAATTGTCAGGCTGGACAGCCCTCCATGAAGCTTCTGCTGTGGGTGATGAGGCAGTGGTTGAGGAGCTGTTGAGGGCTGGAGCTAATGTTAACGCTAGAAACTGTGATGGCGTCACACCCCTACATGATGCCGTTACCACTGGACACTATCAGGTGATGGAGAGACACTTTCTACATGTCCATAGAGAGTGTGATGTTTTCAGAGTTTGAAATGAAGACTAACAACAAATTTAATGATTTATTCAGACCATCAGGGAAAAGGTGAGAAATGTATTCAAATATATATACCGTCATTTATTCCCATGTATACTGCACAGCTCTTACAGCTCTTCTTTCACTTTCTTTCACTTTTTCTCACTGGATTACAGTGTTCCTCTACCTTATATTTAAATAGATTTTAGTTTGATCTTGTAAATATTAAAATTGTTTGTCCTTCCTTTTAAAAAGAAGGCCTTTTACTTGAAATATATATGATGTACTAAATAATAATAATGTATTATTCTGCTGTTGGTGATGAGACAGTGGTTTATAAATTGCCATATACAGATCAGAAACAGGTTTAATTTGCCTGTTATGATAACTACTTTGTTGGACAATATATTGTCCCAAAAATAACTGCGATTAACAATATTATTATCATTTTAAGACCATTTTATGCCACTGCTATAATGCCAATGCACCCTTTCAAAGAGTTATAATAGTTTAATAATAGTAATTTTCCTGTTCATTCATGAGGCTGGTTATTCTAGCACTGAAACAAACATGCATGTAAACACAAGGGGTATTAGCTAGGTCAGCATTCAATAATGTAATTATTGTAACAGGCCTCACTATACATACTTTGTTGACCTCACTTCCTTCCAGAGGAAAACCTGCTATTTTTTGGTTCCAGCTGAGAACCAGCTTTTCAGGTTCTGAACCAGATTATTTTTGGTTGAAATGTTCTAAACACTGGTGTGCGAACCAGACCGGAGCCCGTTCCATGTTAGTGGAAAAGGCATACTAGGGGATTTTGTAATAAACTGAATAAATCGTTCATCAGCTTTGTTGGATGCTGATGGAACAAGAGTGCCTCCAGTGAACACAGGAGCATTGACATTGTAATGTTTGGATTTCATTGTTATTTTTGTACAGTATCAAAATCTACAGGCTAACAAGAGGTGATATGTGTGTGCTGTGTAGGTAGTGAAGCTTCTTCTCCAGTATGGGTCAAATGCCAGTGACAGGAATGTCGGTGGCCTCAGCGCACTAGACATGGCAGAGGAGGACAATATCAAAGAGCTACTCTTAACTTTCCAAGCATCTTCTGTTATTCATCAGCACCTTTGTGAGGCACCTGCACAGTACAGACAGGCAGGTGAGCCACCTTCCACATTCCATACTGGACTTCAGAAATCAGTCTGTTTTCTTTCAGTACATGTGTTTTGTCATTAGGTTTTACTCTGATGAAATGCTTTGAGTATCATACACTCACCTCCTGTAGTTTTAGACGCTGGATCTGAAACTTGTTGCTTCTTCTTGAGCACAGCAGCTGCAGTTAGTTGGTTTCACTGCAGTTACCGTGGATTCCACAGCTGACCTGGTTTCACTGCAAAAACACAACAAGGTTTGCTTAAATTGGTTGCAAACAACAAATACTTACAGCCAACTGAGCTAGTGACTAAAGGAAGCTGTGTATTTAGCCATATTCTGGAACATGTGAGCGTTTTGAGAATACGGATGCACAGCAGAGAATGGACAATGCTCTAGTAGTTAGAGAAGTTAGAAAAGTTGCTTCGATCCCTGTTTTTCTAAATACATTGCAACCTTTCAAGCCTTAAAGAATTAGTTCAGATTTATTGAAGCAGGGTTGTATGAGGTACTTATCAATAGTCGGTGAATCACCATAAGTATAATATTTTACTGACTTACCTCTCTCCAAGGAACCAGACTCATTTGACATAAGTAGTAATTATACCTTGCAGTTGTTGGTACACTGTTGCCTCAATCTGTAGCAACTAATGTTTGTTGCTAAAACACCAAAGTCACACAATAACACAAACAAATTAACCAACTGAGGCAGCAGTGTACCAGCAACTACCGTGTGAGGGGAAATAATTGTTTTTGTCAATGGAGTATGGTGGATTCTCTTATGTGGCTAGAATACCTTTTGCTGAAGCTCCTGTTCACAATGCAGTGCATTGCTTAGCTTCCATGCGCTGATGGCGGTCTACTATGGAGAAGTACCTCATACAACCCTACTTCAAAAAACTATGATAAGTAGGTGAGTATTTGATACTGAAAACCTAGCTGAGCATTCGTCTAACCCTAGTGCAGACTACCCAACTTTTGCCTGTCCCAGATAAATGTTTCGGATTTGAAACAAAAAGACTTCGGCATAGAACCCACGCTGAGGCCTGTCATGTTGTTTACAAGATGTGTCCTGACCTCGACATGAGTTTTCCCAGATCCTACAACAATCAGATAAAAACAAAATGAACTTCAATGGAGACTAGTTTGAGACAGTATCCAATAAGAGGGCAACAGAAAACGGGAGGAGGCAGGCAGCACACAAAAAACATATATCAGCAACATATCATTTGTTTTCATTTAATATTGCAGTTAGTCACTCCAGTCACTCCCCCACATAAACAGTCTGGGATTAGATTAGTCAGTGTTGTGTGTTCACTGAACACATCGTGTTGGACCTATTGCTTTTATCTCAAGTTTGGGAAACCTAAAGACTTTGGATTTCTCAGAGTGGTGATTGCAACTGAGATCTGAGTGTGGCATTCTTTCAGGTGACACATCCTCAGAGGCTCGCTGCCACATGCAGCTCTCCTGCCAGAGCAGCTTCAGTCCCAGCCACAATGACACAGCAAATGCACAATCCAGAGAATCAGATGACAGAGACGGAGCCAGAGAGCCCGGTGACATTCAGCTGAGAAAGAAAGACACCACCGCTGATAGTGTGAGAGCTCTTTACACTTTGAATTCCTTCAGACTCAAGTGTGCATTAATGTCAGCTGAGACTGGATTAAATGTACATAGACAAAAAAGGTCTTTTAACCATTTATGGCACAGGTCCAGTCTGATGTCGTCCCTCTCTTTAGGAGACATGCAGCATCACTTATTAAAGCTTCACTGTTTTTACAGCTTTGAGGTGTCACTAATTATCTTTTCTTATAGCTGAGTCATTCGGTGGCCGTGGTTTTGGAGGATGTGAAGAGGAAACAAACCGAAATCTCAAATTGGCCTCTGGCAGGTGTTGGGGATACAGGTAGAGCAGCAGCAAACAGTCCAGCCTGTCGAGTCAAGGCAGTTTTATTTAATAGACAATTATCACAAATACCAAATTCATAATCTATACAGTATACAACACCCTCTATCATTAGACCCTCGCTTTGTATAAGGAAAAACTCCTTTAATGAGGGAAAACATGGAAGAAACCTTGGGAAGAGCAACAGTGGATCCCTTATCCATGACAGACAGACATCAACAGATCAGTGGTTTTCTATCATCGAGTAAACTGACAACCCCGACTAAGTGCCGTATTTTATGGATATTTCATATTATAGTCAATGTATAACAATAACAGTAGAGAAGAACTGTTAAACTGTACAGTGAACCCAAACAGTGAACACAATAACTGCAGGAAGTCTGTGTGAATTTGGATACATTTTTGGGGCTTTTATTGCCTTTATTATATAGTGACAGCTGAAGACAGACAGGAAAGGGGGGCAGAGAGAGGGGGGATGACATGCAGCAAAGGGCCGCAGGTCGGATTCGAACCCTGGGCTGCTGCAGCAAGGACTCAGTACATGAGATGGGTTTTACTGATATTTTTAGTAACTTTTATACAATTTTAAATTTCATACATACCTAATAGGCTTCTTGTTTTGTTTGGTTGTTTTACCTGCATACTTCAGGATGAGGCTATTAATCAGAGAGTGAAGGCTCAGTGACTATAGCTTGTGTTCAGGTTTAAGAATAACAATTTCATTTAGTTCTCTTCACAGAAATGAACAAAATGTTTTTGCGACATAGGTCATAACATTTTTTTATATACCTCTTAAAGGGGAACTTGGCAACTATTTCAACTTAATAAACCCGTTTAGAAATCATTTGGATGGTTAAATGGCCTGTTCCGGTGTTAATGGTGACTTTCCCCGCTCCCCCTAGCGTCCCCAGGCGGAAAACCAACCTTGCAACTTTGGGACTACCGTCCCGTTAAGTTGGACATAGGAAGTATCGTGAGAAGCGAGAACGAGCGAGAAACACGAACTGCTTTACGGCAATTCCACATAAACGCACGCACCCCCCTCAATACTGGTTAGCCACGCCGGCTATAAGAACAAGCGATGATGAATGAATTACCCACCTCGGTAGACATTGCTCCACACGAAAAAAGTTGCCTGTCAACAAATGCGCATCATGGGTAGAAAGGGGGAGGAGGGTGCCGCAAGTGAGTTTTTTTTACGACAGTGTTTTGAAATATACGTCCCAGAGCTGTAGGGGGAGCGCGTTGAGAAAACATGCAACGACAAAAGTGAAACCAGCGAAGAAATGGCTAGAGTTGCCAAGTTCCCCTTTAAAATCAAGAAGGCCTTGTGACCCCCCCATGAAATTTGGCGACCCCCAGGGTGGGAACCACTGCAATAGCTGCCCTGTCTGTGAAATAGACCAACACTGTAAAATTACAGTATGGACAATCAGGATGACAAAATTATAGATAGATTGTAAACAAGACTGGATCCAGGGGGACGTCAAGCAACTGACCTGAGCCACACAAACTCCTCTCTACCAATAATATTGCTGCCGCTTCACTGGCAGCTGCAGTAATATACCATTTACATTTTAATGTTTTTTAGTACACGCAGCAATTATACACCATAATACAATAGTAATGCAAAGGAGATTATATGCCACCTTGGTTTCAAATAACAACCAGACACATACTGAATGTGAATAATTTACTGGAGCTGTGCTGTTTTTCAGGAAGATTTCTCTCTGCTCTGACACATATCCAGAATGTGCTGATTGAGGTGCTCGGCAAACAGCAGTCGGAGAAGGATAATCTTGCCAAAAAATGCCGGTCAGTTCAGCAACTTCTCTCATCCTTGACTTAAGTGAAGCTTTGTGAGCCAGCAGCAAAGCTATTGTGTTACACAATGCTGTCATTTTCAGAACATGGCAACATCAAGTGAAAGCTAACTACTTACTCACACTGCATAGTATATGCATGCAGTAAGTTGAGTAAGTCTTTATTGACATATTTACATAAATAATAAAAACTAGTACACAGTTATAATACAGCCTGACAATACATTTCTAACATTAGATCCTCCTAAATGTTACACTATTATATATTATATTAAGACAAGAGTGAGTAGGGCAGACAGGATCAAAGAAATTACACTTGAAAATTCTTGACATTATAGATTAAATTTAGATTTTTTATTAGTGAGATTTTCTAACTCAATAAAGTGCAATTAATTTTTTGAGACATTACTTTTTGACGTCACTGATTTAGATTAATTTTCACGCACATTGCTGAGATTGATTTGATTTGAGGACATGGTGACTCTGCGAGACATCTGGGAGGTTCCAAACAAGCCCACAATTCAACTAATCTAAACCACTGATGTGGAGATGAAAATGAGGCAAAGCTAAAGGCAAATTAAACTTATTTCTTAAATCGACAGTTGTGAATGTCCTTTATATCTTCCTGATTGGCCATCTGTAGTTACCTTAGCTGTGCACAGCTTTAACATGCAGTGGATAATTACTGTAAATGTTTTTGATACAATCACACTCATAGATCATTTCAAAGATAATTTCCAGGAGCGGCCAAATGGTTGTGGAGAATGAAATAAAATAGCATTTTGTGGCAAGTGATGTAGGATAAGAGACAGGAAGCAGCTGTCAGCAATGTCATCCCTTTAATGAACAGGGGACAAGAACAAACACAGTATACCATAGGCTGTATTTTTATCAGTTCAGTAATCTGCGAATGTATTTCTATTTATTATTTTGCTATTAGGCCTTGTGTTAAACTGGGTTATTAAAAGTTGCTTCATAACCAGACCTCTGCAAATGGTGATAATGTAATAAGAGCTACGATTGATAGCCAAAATAAAAATTTAAACCAGGTTTAAATAGAAAAAAACAATAAAACCATAAAGTCTTCAGTTGTTTCACTGTTTTGTTGTTGCTTTAATTCTTTCTGCTGAAACAATAAAGGTCTGAACCCAACTGAACTGTGCCACTCCTCTCTCTTTCTCAGTCTGACCTGTCTCTTTTCACTGTCACCTGTTTAGTAGAAATGAAATTCAATGCAGTTTGTTTCTTGCTTTAAAAAAATATTGTGGTTTCTATTAATTGCTAAGGTCAGTCTTTCTTTATACAGTTCTTCTGAAAGAAACAACTAAAGGTTGCTATTATCATTGTGCCAGCACACTGCTTATAAATAAACCGCAGTATTGTTTGATTCTCTGCGCAGGAGTGTGTCCGACTTCCTTCGGCAACGTGTGTTGAGAGGTCAACTCGTCTCCATCGCTTCACATCAGAGGACTTTGGTGGAGATTCTCCAGAAGCAACTGCATTTGGTAGAAGTGTATGTAACCACAAAGGCCAAACTTTCCCCTCCAAACCATATGAGCAGTACCGTAGCCAGACAGCAGCAAGATCAGTTCTGCACTCAAGCTTCCACACCCACCTTTCCTAAAGCTAGTGACTCACACAGCTGTAATCAAGAGAGTCAAAGAAAGGAAGGCCATAGAACAGCAACACAGCCCCAACTGTTAAGATCAGTTCCTCCAAACAATGCCAGGAACCTTACAATGTCCAGACCTTCTGCTTCATTACTAACGCAGGGGAAGAAGATGCTGACACACACTGATGTGCTGAATAAGAAAGCCAGCAGCTGTCAGAGCAACACCCTGCAACCGCAAAATACTTCACAACACATCAACTTTCAGAAAAGAGGAAATAATGCCCTGATACAGACAAGAGCTGAAGACAACAGCAGACATCTCTCGAAGCTAATACAGAGTGGAGTCATGCAAACTGGAAGTACTCTACAGTTGTTGTTGAAGGTCAGGCAAAGCTCTTGTCATAAAAGCTATTTAATCCTTGTGCAGAAGCTTTTTATAGTTGTCACCACTGACACCACTTGTTTACCAGCAGATTATAACCCTTCCTAACTTGCTAAATTATTGTGCTCCAATAAGAGTTGAGCAGGCCTTGGTCAGCACCTCTGCCAACTTTTTCCTTTCCTGTATTTAGATATTCTATGTGCTAGGCTCATCGGTCTTGAAAAGACAACCAAATTATGAAGATGGTTAAATGATTAGTCACATTTATATAGTCACATCTTAAAGTTCTAGTGTGTAATATTTAGGATTAGAGGAAAAAACGACGGGCCTTAGGAAGTGTCAATTAAACCTAAAGTCTTGACAAGAAGGGTAATAATTTGCTCGGCTCATCCTTAACATAGATAGAGACAGCACTTCTTAGTTAAAGAAAATGTCTTCAAAGTCCATGAAAATGATTCCTCTACAGGCACATACATAATGTGTTTATGTATGTTAAACCTTTCCTCTGCACTTTGTTCCAAAAAGACAATGAATCATTGACGGCTGAAACTATTGTCATTCATTAACGCTGACAGACATACAGTATGTGCTACTGCAGTACTGGTGACATAGGCTATTTGCTGCCAGTACTGCTATGATTCAAAGGCTGTTTATCTTGCCCCTGCAGGGTCACTGGCACTTTGCTCATGTGCTTTGTGATAGCTCGATTAAAGACAGTAAAGGCAAGTTGCATGTGGCTCCAGAACGCTGGCTGGAGTCTATCCTTGGTAACAACATCCCTGTCAGCTCAGCATACGCTTGGAACAAGGTTAGACAGCAGGCTGCCTTAATCCCTTTCACAACACTCAAAACATAAGAATGGCTCCAGAAACAGAAAATACTCTATCTGTCGGCTTTTCATTGTAACTCACATAAACAGCCTAAGGCCATGTTCAGACAGACAATATCACTGCATGAAACAGAAGTCTCTTTTTCACTCCCATGAGACCTCTATAGTGGGGTTCTTGATGCAGAAAAAACTTAAACCTGTTCAGAAGGACAAAATGATTTCCAGTCTCATTCCAGTTTTGTCCCATATAAACCACTGTGCAGTATCTGATAAGCCTTCAAACTCATGGATGTATTACTCTGACTGGCATTGCTGGACTGTATTTCATTGTTTCACCATCCGTACCTGAAACAACCACATATCAACAGGTTTTTGAATATGCTCAAATGTTGCAACGCCAACCTTTTCAAGAAGTTGATTTAACAAATGAAAGAGTGAGGCTGTGTTCACACGGTCAAAGTCCACCACCGATGGAAAACTTTGGGAAAAAATCTTGGCAAAATGGCTCAAGCAGCTTCTCATGACTGAAGTCGGAAAAGGAGGGAAATTCCTCTGTAGGACCTAGAGTAGTCATAACAGTTATGTTCATCAGACTATTCACAGCTGCATGTAAACAGGAATATTAGACTATTCAGGTAACTAAAATGCTTTTTTACACCTAGTTTTAGTTAAAACTATATAACTATAACTATAATAACCTTGGACCACTCCCTTGGAAATTAGACTTTGAATTAAATGAGACACTGGTGGATAATAAACATTGTGTGTAACCCCCCCATCTCTACATATATACATAGATACATGTATATATATGAAAGGTGCTATATATTGAGCGCTGCTTGCAGCTTTAATTTCTGTTATCTTTTTAAGCCAATTTAGTTGACTGTGAAGAATTCCACAGATTCGTTACCTTTCTCAGCTGTTGATGTGGAACAAGGTTCACCTTTCTGCTGTTTCCTGCCTGCCAGTAAGGGTCTGTGGAGACGGGGCAAGACACAGCATTAGGCTGTAAATTATTGAGTGTTCACAGTAGGACTGTGCACCAGCACACACACTCCTCCTGCTCCATATCTTCCATCTCATTGAGAAAATTGTAAAAGTGTAGTGCTACAGAGGCCTGTTGTTTCAGAGTAATGCTGAAAGACATTTGATAGGCCCTCGGGTTTCACATATCCCACCATATCACTGACACTCATTAATAAGTCATTATTCATAAACAGACATGTCAGTGGTGTTAAAAGCTATTACCGATGGACTCTTTCCACTGTTTCCCCAGGTGACGTTCAGAGACAAACCTTTGTCTCATTACTTATTGAACATGGAGACTGAAGGAAACACTCCAGAGACATATCCTGAGGACGATGTTCAGCACTGGAAGGCCGGATCTTCTCGGGAGATGCTGACCACAGGTCTGTAGTTCCTGTCTGCTGACATGCCTAACCCCTGCCTCAGCGCAACATACATCCTGCCTTTGACATTTCCTTCAGAGCAACTCAAACAAATAAAGCGAAGCGGCAGCCAGCCACTGAAGCGTGGCTTTTTCTCTGTCAATAATTAATCACCTACCTCACATGTCTCTCACCTGGAGCCTCTCCGACCACTGTCGCAAACAGCCTCATTAAAATGAATCGTACGTTTATAAATAGAAAAGACATTGCATGTTTTTCAATTCCTTTTCTGTTTTTCGCAGAGGCATCCTGCTTGAGCCGTCTCATGAAAATCAAAATAATCCATTTGGTGGATGATGACGAACTGCTGCCAAACGCTAGGCTGAACATCTACTGGGAGAAGCTCTTGAAGAAAGAATATTCAGAGTCTGAAGACTGGGGGAGTGAATTATTATAATTATCTCTCCCCACATTTTGTCCATAACTGTTTGAGAGTTTAAAGGACCAGTGTGTAGGATTTAGTGGCGAAGTGGTGAAGTTGCAGATTGTAATCATTTAAATACAGCTCAGCCCTCCAGGTGTGTAGGAAGAAACTATCAAAAGCCCCTGTTTAGAGCCAGTGTTGTGTTTTTCCGTTCTGGGCTACTGTAGAAACATGGCGGTTCAACATGGTGGACCTGCTTGATAAACTGACCACTCATGATTGGGGGGTACAGGGGGGTACAATGTGACTTCCACTGAGTGAATATGGTTGAAAAGTATTATATGAGTTTGTTGTTATTTGTACTTCCGGTTTCATGTTGTAATTGTTTATGTCAGACAGCTTCAGCTCTATTTGGCCGTGTGGAAGTAGGATGTAGTTTCACACTATATCTGTAAAGTGTTTACTACAGGTTTATCTGCAGTATCTATAGTATTTGCAATGTTAACCGTTTCACTGTTAAACAATAAAGATAGCTGATTATGAAAGTGTTTGGTTTGGTGTGGTTGTTGGAGCTGCAGGTTGGAACTGTCACTTCTGGCCTCAGGCAGTATAAAGTCATGGCTGAGCTCCAGGCTGGCATACTGTAGATGGTGTGCACACAGATAAGACTGTACAGGGACACTGACGGGTGCTTGTGTGTGCTCGCTTGTGCTGAAGACAGTTAATCATTAGTGAAAGGGTGGTGAATGTATCGGGTGGTGGTGATGTGCTGGATGTGGGCAGGCGGTGAACTGCTGCCGGGGACTCCCCCCTCCACTCTCCCCTCCCCTCCTGCCACTCCTCTCAGTAGTCGCTCCAGTCCGCGATGGAGCCCCGGACATAGCAGAGGGGACTCAAGACGGCTCGGCTCTACCGAAGCGCGCTTTCTTTACGCATGTGGTAAGTTTCGTGCTCCCTCGCCTTCTTATGTGCTTTTCCACTTCACCCAGTTGACGGCTGTGTGTTTGTATTGGAGCGCAGATCTTTCAGGCGCTGGTGCGTAATGCAGAGACGCATAGTTTGATTCCAGAGCGTAGAACTGCTCCTCATATATAAAGCAGGATGTTTCCCAGTTTGCCTCATTCGTCTTTTTCCTTTTCCGTCCTCCCTCCTTGGTTCTTACCATTTCACTCACTGCACAAATGTCTCGTTATATCAAGGTCCTCACGTGGAACTGTGGGAGAAGTTTGCATGGCACGAGAGCGGCTCAAAGACAACTTTAGAGAGCAAGGTAATTTACAGCATGGACATCATTCATTCTGTTTTACTGGCTTCAGAAACACTATTATCAGAGCAAAAAAACTAACTATAAGCATTTGAAATGTTCAGCTGGTGCGTTCATGAGGTAAATATGTGAGGCAGAGTTAGAGTTTTTATATTTTTCCATACACTTTTCGTTTTTCAATTCAGTTTAGTTTCAGTTAAATTTTCAGAGTGGGCTTGCTCGTTTATGGTTATTAGTTAGTTATTAGTTTCAGTATCAGTGTGCTAAATATACCATGGCTTTCCGAGGAGCTCCCTTTTTTTGGTATGTCATCCTCCGATAGCCTTTATAATAATCAGTTAATGGCATACATCAATACTAACCTAAAATTTATGCAGATGCATGATGATAAAGATACAAAAAAACAAGAAAGAAATGGGAATATTGCATATTATCAATATTTTAGGTGTGTTTTCATATATCGTATTTTTATATGTAGTTTGCACCCTGTTCAGTATAAGTTTTAGTATTAGTGTTAGTATTTGTCAGAATAGCTATTATAATACAAACACATTGACTCACAGTCATGGAGACTTCGCAGTCTCAATAAACATAAGCACCAATGCTTGTTGTGTCGCCACATTGGACCAAAAACTAAAACTAAAAAATATTGTATATTTATATTTTATTTTAGTTAATTTTGTAAGTATAAAATATTGTTTCAGTTAGTCTTTGTTTTTTGTAATGTCTAATGTCAAATTTTTTTTTTTATTCCACTATAGTTTTAGCTTTTTGTTTAGTTTTAGTTAACTAAACTGTAAGGATGACTAGAACTGTATTAAAGTAATGCAATAATGATAATTCACATCATGCTGTCACTTAGGCTACTTAAAATTCTTTAGATATTGAACCCACTTCATTGCTCTTCTTTAACAACCACCTACAGTAGGTAACGACATAATAAACCTGAATGCTCATTTTCATGTATTTTTTATTCCTTTGTTTATAGAATGAAAATAAGATGTGCCCACTACATACATAGAGTGAGACACAGGTGCTTCCTGTTTTCTCTGTCTCTGCTGGTGGTCTGTCTGCTCAAGCTGGTCTACATTAAAGTGACAGTGAGGGACGGCATCTACATCGAGCCCTATGGAATCACTGCCAGCTTATCAGGGATCCACAACCGCAAGTATGACGTCAACTGCACCGCCATCTACGAGCTCGACCCAGTGGAGATAGGAAAATCTCTGGAGATAAAGCGGAAAGCCATTGTTGACGTGGACGATGATAGCACTGTGAGCTTGACGGCAGACTGTCAAACGTTTATCAAAACCAGGGGTTACAATGAGGTACCGGTGTCGGATGCAGAGCGGAGCTTTCCGCTGGCTTACTCCCTGGTGGTGCATAAGAATGCGCCCATGGTGGAGCGGATTCTCCACGCCATCTATGCGCCTCATAACATCTATTGCATTCACTATGATCAAAAGTCCTCTCCAGCGTTTATAAAGGCAATTAAAAACCTGGCTCAGTGTACTCCAAATGTGTTTATTGCCTCAAAATTGGAGTCTGTGGAATATGCACACATCAGCAGGCTTAATGCTGACTTAAACTGCCTCTCTGACCTGCTGATGTCGGAGGTCAAGTGGAAGTACGTCATCAACCTTTGTGGCCAGGACTTTCCTCTTAAGTCAAACTATGAACTGGTAATGGAGCTGGAACAGTTGAATGGCAGTAACATGCTGGAGTCCAGCCGACCCAGTGAACTCAAGAAACAGCGCTTTGGCTTCCAGCACGAGCTGAAAAACGTGCCTTATGAGTACCACCGTATTCCTGTCAAAACTACAGTGGCCAAAGATGTTCCTCCTCACGGCATCGAGATGTTCATTGGCAGCGCATATTTTGTCCTATCATGGGATTTTGTGAATCACATTAGTGGCAGCCAGGTGGCAAAAGACTTTCTGACATGGTCTGCTGACACATACTCACCAGACGAACACTTCTGGGCCACCCTTGTCAGGCTCCCTGGGGTTCCCGGACACATTCCCAGATCAGAAGCGGATGTGACGGATCTGAGGAGTAAGACACGACTGGTTAAATGGAATTATTTAGAGGGTAAGCTTTACCCAGCCTGCACGGGTACACACATGCGGAGTGTTTGCATCTACGGAGCCGCTGAACTTCGCTGGCTCCTCAACTATGGACACTGGTTTGCTAATAAATTTGACCCCAAAGTGGACCCGATCCTGATTAAGTGTTTGGAGGAGAAGCTTATGGAAAAACGTGTGCAAATATGATACTCAAGGAAAGAGGAAGTAATTCCAGGGTAGGTGCAAAATTACAGAAAGGCAGTGTAACCAAGTGCATCTACTCAGTCACTGAGATCCAGGCCGGTCTACTTTGGAGGTTAAGATTTCCCAAAAAAACACATGATAAAGTCATGGAATGTGCATCGCTATAATTAAGACTACCTGACAATATATGGAGATACACTATTTGCACCAACTGCAACATGAAAACACTGCATTTATAATACATCAGTGATTTGACATAGTGGAAAGTTCCTTTACTTTAGAAGGTACATTTCACTAATGTTTCTAAATAATGTTTGCAGGATGTTTACTTTTAGTGAATTATTTTTACAATGTAGTATTGCTAAGGGATTTAAATTCTCTATCGATCATTTTTTCATACATTCTAATCATTGTCAGTGTGTCACTGACCACACACAGCATTTAATAAGTGACAGAAGGAAATGAATAAAGTGCCTATGTCTACAGGAATAATGTTATTTTAGGAAATGTCATCCTAAAACCAAATGCCACTCAATATCACGTCCATGCTGATCTCGAGTTTGATTTCAGACTACTCTTATTGAGAGTAGATATGCCAAAGACTCTGTGTTCTGTAAATATAGATAGGAATTGAGTTGAAAAAGTGTAGCTTATTATGAAAGTTTGTGATCTTGATGATTTATTTATTCCTGAATAAAAGTATGGTGGGTTGTTTGGACTGTGGTCTCAGGCTGTCAGCAATGATCTGTTGTAGTCAGTCACATCTCTGAACAAGCTCTGGCTTATTAAAGAATAACAAATGACTTTTCATAGCTTCCCCATTTATTCAATATACACTGTGGAGTATTTGATCACTAGTGGAGCAATGTCTTAATAAGCACATACCTGTAATATTTGTGTAACAGCGTGCGCACAAAGACACACGATTGCCGCGAAGCATGGGTGTCATGTGAGAACAGTGTTGCAAATGAAGGCATCAGTATGTGTGGTAAAAGTGTGTATATCTGTTCTGAAGGATAGATAGATTTGATAGCTAGATTATTTGTCTTCAGGGAGGAAATTCTTTTCCACAATCAGTGCAAAGGTTCAGCAGAGAAAGGGGCGAGGCGTGCTAAACACTGATAACAGCGCACACTTTCAAACAGCCTGTACTCGGAGGCATTCATGGTGTAGCACCCGGCTGTAGTGATGGATGTGAGGAATGAAAAAAGAGCTAGAGAGAGATGGTCACACTGCCTGCTTTCTCACTTCAACACATTTGACAGATTGCTATTTGCAGTTGCAATTACAAAAACGCAGCCTGCAAGATGCTGCCATTCGACAACAAGCACTTTTATTAAAAGCACACTGAGGTCTTTAATGAGCTACTTTATGGCAATGTTGAATTTACCTCAATTTTTGCATTAATTTAAATAAATTTTTCAGATATTAAATTTACTGGACAGTCTTGCTTAGTTATGTCACACACAGGTGTTTCTTTTATTTTGTCAAGTCTATTTATATCAGTGAGGGTAGACAACTGAAACACCTAACTGTGTAACACAATACGGTTCAACATGCACAACAGACTACACCCTCCAAAATGACCAGTTGAATCAACACCTCTATAAAACCCCGGTCATTTATACTTTTATTATCTTGTATTAGACTGCATTAGTTTTAGCTCTGTGTACCTAATAAACCAGACATTGAGTGTATATCACCATTGTCATATCAATTTACAGTTACTGTTATAGAGTTTTATTAATTTAAAAACGGTTTACTAAATGTTTTATTAGGTAGGAAATGGGTTCAACATGTGCAGTTGACTCGTTTACCGTAAAGACAGTGAAGAATTTAACTGAGTATTCTGATTTAATGGGCAGGGTTGGGAGGGTTACTGAAAAAAACACAATCCCACACTATTACTTATTTCGGTATTTCAGTCGTGTCACCACATTGAAGTAATGTAACTTGATAACTTCCTGTTATTTGGATTACTTCCACACTAAATATA